TCCATTGTTTTAGTTCTGTCTGTTTAGCTATGCTTTTCTGTTAAGCACAGTTTTCTTGTTGCTGCCTTTAAGTAATTTGGACTGACTTTCTTACTCAGAATGAAAAGTGCTTGCTAGCACCTTATTATCTACATGTCTTAAAAAAGATCCAGTCAAAAGCACTCATGAGAGCCTTAAAAATGTCAAAGATAACAAGCCAGCAGTGGGCGTCCTTGGCACACATATTGGCACACATTGCTGCTGTGGAGTGAGCACACAACCTGAGACAGTAGAGCACAATACAAAGCTCTGGCTCAGGCTTCCTCAAAGATGACTAGGTCAGTAGTGCCAAAGGCCAGATTTTGGATGACTGAAGCACCTGCTACAGTGTCTTTGTTGCAATTCTTTGAATGACTGCCATCATTAAAAGATTTTTGAGGTACCTATGCACAAAAACATGGTAACCCTCATATTTAGGCACTTGAGTGGGATTTTTGCACCAAAGATGTCAGAGACTTGGAGTCATGCTGTCATTGGGGGCTCATTTTGCAGGAAAAAAGGTCAATCATATAACTGCATATATTGGAATTTTTGGAAAATAACGTACTTGACATCCTAATACTCTTGGATGTATGAGAAGCAGCTCATTTTAAAGGGTTTTGGGATTTTAACTTCAGTAATAAGTTTTATTTTGGTGCATGACTTCTGAATGACTTGATATTGGAAGCAGGAAGTACAAATCCAGGTATGACTTCATAGAATCATAGAATGGTTTGGGTTGGAAGGGACTTTAGAGATAATCTAGTTGAAATCTCCCTGCCATAGTCAGGGATGCCACTCAATAGACAAGGTTATTCAGAATCCCATTCAACCTGACCTTGAACACTTCCAAGGATGGGGCATCTGCTTCTTTGGGCTACCTGTTCCAGTGTTTCACTACCCTCTGAGTAAAAAATTTCCTCCTAACATCTAATCTATACCTCTCCTCTTCTAGTTTCAAACCATTAATTCCCCTTTGTCCTACCACTGTCTACCTGTGTAAAAGTTGTTCTTCCTCTTTTTCAATAAGCTCCCATTAAGTACTGTCAAGACAAAAGGAGGTCTCTACAGAGCCTTATCTCCAGGCTGAACAATCACAGCTGTCTCAGTCTGTCTTTGTAGGAGAGGTTCTCTGTTTCTCTGAACATCTTTGTGGCCTTCTCTGGACCTGCTCTAACATCCTTCTTGCGGACTCCAGATGTAGACACAATACTACAGATGGGGATACAAGTGAGGAAGAGTAAATTAAATCTTATTATGACCCTCTGTCCCTTCATTTTAATATATACTTCACAATTTGAGGTTTAGTATCACACATTCTTAAAATAATTTTTGCTGTATTCAGACTCCTTCTCTTGATCACTGATGCTTCTTAGTCTTAGCTGGACCTTGATTTTTCTTGTTGGCTATTGAAGGACTCAGAGGAACCATGCCATAAAGCTGTTGAACTTGTGAATGGCTTTTATGTGCCATTTTATTTCACCTGCATGATAGTTTAATGCCTGCTGTGTTTCAGTGGTGTTTGTACTGATGAGACTGTGTGCTATTCCCCATAACTTTAGTCATCTCATGCCTCAGTTTGTGTGTCTTCCAATCTCCTTGGCAGTATGTATCTGGGTTTTATACTTCATTATTTATTTTTAAGCTTTTGAGAGCTGTAAGGGACTTGAATGGTTTTATGGGCCAATTGTTATAGAAACCCTAAATCAGTCACCCATTCTCTACCCCAAGCTCTTTTCAAGTACCAGTGCAGATGGGGAAGAAGAAACCTGGATCTTCATGCAAGTGGAAAGGTGACAGACGTAAAAAGTAGTCCTGCATGAGGGAAAGAAAGCACCTGAAATTTGCCTGAAATACACTTCCTGTGGCTTAATGTAGTGATAAAGAGTAACTGGTGTACAGGAAGGGGAGGGGAAATTTTTCAGGTCTGTAAGCAGTTCTGTTGCCTAGTTGTCAGTCTGTGGCTGACAGAACTGCACATACCCTTCAGACATAGAAATCTTAAAATCAGTCATGTAATTTCTTAAAAGCCATAAAACTATTAATCATCTTTCTGCAAAATTTATTCATGAATAATGAAATTATTGACTTGTTCCAGTGGAAACTAATGGATTACTAGCAATAACAAATACAACCCTTATGGCAGGGCAGGTCATTTCCCTGAAGAACCACATAAGTAATATTAAGAGCCAGACCAAGATATCTCACCCCATCAGGAAAATGGAAAATTCTCCATCATTCAGGCTAGATGATGGATTCATCTCCATCACTCATTACCCTGCAGGGGAGTGAGGAGACCCCAAGTATCTGAGTTTCATAGCCAACATACTGTTCCAGGTCTTTCTCATTCTCCATGGGAGCTTGAGTACATTGGAACTGTATTGGTAAAGAGTCGCCTACCCTCCCCTTTCTCTGGTGTGCTTAATGGGAATATCTCTGCACTGTCACCCCCAGAATCCCTATCACAAGGAGGCCTCTAGAATTTTTTGGAGGCTCCAGGGACAGGGACTCCTTCCAACAGAAATAAGGATCATTTAATCTGAGAAGCTCAATCTTCAGTAACTGGATTATTCAGCAACATTTTTCCTAAGTGATTAAAATATTTTGGCACTTTTAGCTATTAAAGACAGGACCCAATTAGCAACAAATACTACTGAATGGAACAATTGATACTAAATACAAATTTCTAACTGTTCAGCAGCAGTAAAAATTCTTTTCACATTTCTTAGTACTTTTCATATTACTTAGTACTTCAATGACTTGCTTTTAACAAATTATCTTTCTATAGTGATAGCAGTTAAAAGCAGCCAAGAGAGAGAGCCTGCAGTCTATGAGTAAGACACTAATCCCCTTAAATTTTGTGCTGAATAATGCATAAAAGGTATCCATGTGTAAGGAATAACTCTGTGTGAAAACCTGTCAAACAAAAAATCATTGGACACTGTAAGTTTATGTCCAGAGGTATGAAAAATAATGGGAATTCACTGGACTGGTATTTACCTTTTCACCCCTTTGTTGTATTGCAGTAAACCTGGTATAGATGCAGTCAGAAGGATGGATGATATTAGCCTGGAAATTTCAAATTGAAGCCCCTGACTGAAAAAACCAAATACTTAATTGCCCACTTGCCTGACACTGCAGCTGGATTTGACTGATGTTTTTTACAGGAATGTGGTGGAATGAAGGCTTATCCAATTCTCAGAACAGAAAAAAAGTGTAAAAGTTGGTGCAGTTTTGATATAACTCAAGCATGGCACATTAGGTGTGTTTTTTCTCTTAAGCAGATATATGCCTGAGTACTGTAGTACTTAAGAAAGAAAGTCTAGGAAAAGGTGTCAACATGGTCTGTAACTGAGCTGAATGCAAGTTGCAGGAGGGATTATCTAGCAGCTATGCTAGCCTGCTTGCCGCAGGAACCTCTGCCGCAGTTTTACCACTCAGAGTGCTTAAGGGCAGAAGTTCAGGTATCAGAAAAGATCAGGTGTAAGCAGGGATGAACAAACCTTCCTGGTTTGTACATTCACCCTGACTGGAGAGAAGCAAAGAGATACTCTAGTGGTTTTGCCTTATCTCTTGAGTTGATTAATTTGCAGCGACATTAAAGATTTTAAATGAGTCCTGCCTGAAAATATATGTGAAGATCATCTGTATTTCATTGTAATCTGGTAACTTCTAAGGCAAAAATAAAAAAAAAAATCCTTTTTATTCAGGAGAACACTTTCTTAGCTGGAGATACATCATCCTAAGAATTAACCATGAAGGAGAAAAGGAAGAAATACATTTTAATTCTTGTGCTCTCCTAATAGTCTACAATGAGCTCTGTCATTAAAAACCACCCCCAAGACAATTCCTGAAGAGATCAGCTATTCTGTTTTGGCTCATTACCTTTTGATTTAAGGGTGAAAGCTTGTACCCTCTAAACACCAGTATTTCCTTTGTACTTGTTCTCCCCCATGCCATTCTCTATTTTGTACTCAAGGACTGAGAACAAGCATGTACTTTCAGCTTTTTTCTATCCTATCAATTCCATAGATTACTACTTTCATATAAGTGTGCATCCCTGTATTTATTTTACTCTCATATTAACAGCATGTGTTTTGTGAGTGCATGATGGAATACCAACTGACTAGATCAAGATCTTCTACACATTCAAGTTTCAAATTAGTTTTCCTTTTCCACTTGTGAATGTTTCTTTGTGCAGAAAACAAAAATATTGATGTTATTCCTAAATTCATTCACTGAGCAGTTAAATCTGAACATCATGCTTAGAGATATTTTCAAGAGAGCAAACAGATTTTGACTAGAAAAAAGGTGCTTTTTTAAGAAAAATGTTAATGCTAAGAAATAAATTCAAGTATTGAGATTTTCCAATGAAGTTGAAATAAAAGTTGTCATTTTAAAATTACTTATTCTGAACTCTCAGAATGTTAGGTGAGATGAGTTTGGTTTCTCTGGATTCAGAACCATATTCTGAATCTAATGGATTCATGCTGTATCAAAATGCAAATCCCAGTGCCTTCACTGCGGGTGTTTATTCATAGGGGTCAAACTGATCTCACTGAAGATAGATTCTCATAATGTCATTGAAGCTATTTTACATTTAAACCAGAGTGATAAACATCAATAGTCACTGTCCTTGTTTCACCTGTCAAGTCAAGAGCCAAAGCAAAAGCTCCAATAGTGACTGTCAGTTTGGCTTCACACAATCCTCTGCAAGCACCACCCTGTTGCAAACATAAATAGGCACTGGGCTCCACAAACTTCTAAAGCTAGTGGGTGACATTACAAAACTCTTCATAAAACCACATCCACTACAGTGCTCTACCCAAGTTCAGATATTTCTTTTCTAAATTTGCCAGAGGAAATAGCATAGTGGGTACACGTGGCTGAAAATAAAGATATTTAGCAACTACTTCTTGTAGTTGCTAAATATCTTGCATCTTCTTGCATTTACATATTTCTCTTTTTGTCTAACTGCAGGAATGCAAGATGCCTCAAAGAAGCTTACAGAGTCTCTCCATGAAGTGTATGAGCCAGACTGGTATGGACGTGAAGATGTGAAAATGATTGGAGAGGTAAGATATATGGAAAGAGGGAAAAAGTATTTTGGATGCAAATGGATTAATCTGAGCTGTTGAGGAGAAGTGTGCATCCAAAACTGACCTTAATCCTTCATGTCATGTTAAATCCTGTTTTCTCAGCATATAAATTATGGATCTTGTGAAATGCAGCTCCTGCTGGCCAGATGCAGCACTGCAGTGTCTGTTGTATGAACTAGCTGATAAAAGCTACCACTGAGATAACTCAGTGTGAGCAGAATTGGTCCTGACAGCATCTGACTGACAAGTTTGTACAAAGGTATCTTACATGCAATTTTATAGTCAGGATTCTCAGCTCAATGGAATGTTAAAAATTATCAAAGCTGCTTATCCTTTTGTGCTGTGTAACAATTGTCGAGCCAGTGGTACTGCACAGGACATCTTATGAGACACTCACCTTTCTCTGAGAAGAACATGGAATTTAAAGGCAAATTAGAGTGCAGGACACTTTATTTTTACTTTTTACCTTACTCCAGTGATTAGAGAAGAATAGGCTTTTCTAGACAACATAGCAGGAATTTGAGGTGCTCTGAATTGCCTGCATAAAGAGCCTCAGTTCTGGGGGAAATCTGTCAGCAAATGTGATGGTGGTGACAAGAAAGTGCAAATGGTTGTCAGTGAAGCTTTTAATGACCTGGCATTCAGTTTGCAAGGTCTCCTTGATAATACAGTTAACAGTAAACCTGAATACAGAGCAGTGTACAGATTGCTTTTCTTCTCTATGGATGCCTTCTCCTACACTTCCCTGCTGCAAAAGGTTTTGATTTTAAAAGCACACAACTTCCAAAGTGCCTGATTTAAGATACATATTTTTTGTTTGATTGATTTAGGTTTTTTATATTGTTTTATATGCAATATTACAAAATCTCCTGAATTGTTCTGGAACATATTCACAAAGGTAGATTTATGCATCAATTAGAGTGGCAAAAACTCAGTTAGAACTTAACCTGGCCACTTCTGTCAAGGATAATAAAGAGTGGTTTTATAAATATATTAATATCAAAAGAAGGACCAAGAAAAACTTCTATTCTTTATCAACATGGTGGGGAATATAGTTACCAAAGATGAGGAAAAGGCTGAGGTACTTAACACCTTCTTTGCCTCAATTGTCAACAATAAGACAGGTCATCCTCAGGGCAGATGGCCTCTAAAGCTAACAGACTGGGACAGGGAGCAGAATAGATCCCCTGTAATTGGAAGCAGTTAGTGACCTGCTGAGCCACTTTGATGTTCGCAAGCCTGTGGGACCAGATGGGATCCATCCTGAGTGATGAGGGAGCTAGCAGAAGAGCTCACTAAGCTGCTTGTCAACATTTATCATCAGTCTTGGTTTTTCGGGAGGTCCCAGATGACTGGAAGCCAGCCAATGTAATACCCCTCCTGAAAGGAGGATCCAGGAAACTACAGATCTCTCAACCTGACATCGATGCCTGGCACAGTTATGGAACAGGTCATCTTGAGTGCGATTACACAGGACCTGCAGGGATCACCTGGGGATCAGACCCAGACAGATGAATTTAGGAGAGGCAGGTCCTGCCTAACCAACATGATCTCCTTTTATGACCAGGCGACCCACCTGGTGGATGTGGGGAAGGCTGTCAATGTTGTCTACCTGGACTGAGCAAAGCCTTCAACACTGTCTCCATGGAATAATCCTGGAAAAGCTGATAGCCCATGGCTTGGACAGGTGCAGTCTTTGCAGGGTTAAGAACTGCCTGGATGGCCAGGCCTAGAGAGTGGTGGTGAATAGTGCTATATCCAGTTGATGGCCAGTCACTAGTGGTGGCCCCCAGAGATCTGTGTATGGGCCCAGTCCTGTTTAATATCTTTATTGATGATCTGGATGAGGGGATCGAGTCTACTATTAGCAGTTTTGCAGATGACACCAAGTTGGGTGCCAGTGTCAGTCTGCTGGAGGGCAGGAGAGCTCTGCAGGAGCACCCTGGATGGCCTGGATCGATGGGCTGAATCCAGCGATATGAGGTTTAACAAGACCAAGTGTCCGGTCCTGCACTTTGGCCACAACAACCCCCTGCAGCACTACAGGCTGAGTAGAAACTGGACAGAGGCCAGGCAGAAGGGACCTGGGGGTACTGATTGGCAGCAGCCTGAACATGAGCCAGCAGTGTGCCCACCATGGCCAAGAAAGCCAATGGAATCCTGGCCTGTATCAGCAATAGTGTGGCCAGCAGGAGCAGGGAATGATTCTTTTCCCCATGCTCAGCACTGGTGAGGACACGACTTGAGTACTGTGTCCACGTCTGGGCCCCTCAATTTAGGAAGGATGTTGAGATGCTGGAGCATGTCCAGAGAAGGGCGACAAGGCTGGTGAAAGGTCTGGAACAAAAGTCCTATGAGGGCCAGCTGAGGGAGCTTGGGTTGTTTAGCCTGGAAAAAAGGAGGCTCAGGGAAGATCTTTTCACTCTCTACAACTGCCTGAAAGGAGGTTGTAGCCAAGTGGGGGTCAGTCTTTTCTCCCAGGAAACCAGCAACAGGACAAGAGGACACAGCCTTAAACTATGTCAGGGGAAGTTTAGGCTGGACATTAAGAAGAATTTTTGCACAGAAGGAGTGATTTGGCATTGGAATCACCTGCCCAGGGAAGTGGTGGTGTTACCATCTCTGGAGGTGTTTAAGAAAAGACTGGATGTGGCACTTAGAGCCATGTTATAAGGTTGTTGATAAGGTGGTGTTAGGTCATAGGTTAGACTTGATGATCTCAAAGATCTTTTCCAACCCATTTGATTCTGTGATTCTGTAATTCTGTGAGCTCAGTAAAAAATAATTACGTATCCAGGTTATAAATTGTCATTCCAAAAGGGATCCACTTAAAAGACCTTATTCTGTATGGTAGGAAAGATGATGGCTTAAAGAATCCTTCAGCAATTTTGTTTGAGTTCATTAGCTTTCAGAATCTCCTTTATTTTAATTTGTTCAAAATATGTATCAGCAAGATACAAAGGCAAACAAACAAGACTGGCATGCTATGGTCTAATGCTGTGATGCTTTGTAGACCACTGTGATTAAATGCTGTGTTAATAAATTAGGCATTTCTTTTAAACATGTTTAATAGATTCTAATCACTCATTAGGGACTCTGTTAGAGTAGGAAAGGAATGAACTTAAAGCTGGCATTACACAGCATTTATAATCCACCAAATAGTAGGTTATGATAAAACAAACACTTTGGAATAGTTTTCTATTGTGCAGGATGGCCATGTGTTTCATGGGTCAGTGGTCGGAGACAGGGACAACACACACTCAACTGTCCAAGTGGCAATAGAGAGAGTTTATTATATAAACCCCTCTTTATAAAGGGGGTTTGAAAAACCCAGTCTGGATGGCTCATTGGTCTGATCTTTGATACCGCCCAGCTCCCAGACTAGTGAGATGTCTGCAGCTTAGGATGGAATGTAATCGATTGAGGTTCCTGTTTGTCAACCCAGGGCCGGTTTATGGAACTGGCTGAGTTTCTTATTTATAGCCGAATTAATTTCCCAGCACAAGCCAGCTTGTACTGTGACATAATGTGACAGTTTTCCAGACTTGTCTGTGAGGATAACAGCCCTGCAGAGCAGTGCTTACTTACAACCATTAACCTCCCTCCCATCAAAGGGAAGGATGTTAAGTGATTTTTGAAATGTGCAAAGAAAGGGCGAATCAGGATGTTTAACATGTGCTAATGATTTGTTCAGTGGAGAATCCAGGACCTCAAGCACGATGTCTATGCAACAGGATTTGCTTCTACTAAGGAATCTTACCCACTGCGTCCTTGTCACATGAGCTGTGTTAATATGATCATGAAAATCAGAAAGCTACAGGGGGTTTCTCCTGGTGACTAGCCCAGAGCTCCAAAGGGGACTGGGGAAAAGCACTGTGTGTTCAGGGCAGAGGAGGGTGGCAGGGTTGCAGATTTTGTTTATTTTGCCAGCCGATGTTGAGATGTTTGATGTTGAGATGTTTCCAATGTGTCATTCCAGTTCTCCAGCAGCACAAAGTAGAATTCTTGTCTGCATCAGCCATTCTATTAAATGTACCTTAATAGCACAAAAAGAATGAGATGGAAAGATCCTTCCCTTTATTTTCTCTTCTATTTTTTGTCGTACTTCCTTTCTCTGTAAGCAAGGCTCACCATCAGGGAATATAGTTAGACACAAGAGCTACGCCATGTACAGATTCTGTGTTAATGACCCTCAGGGACCTGAAACCCCAAGAAGCACCTTGAATCCATGACATCCTTATTTTCACATAGCACTTAGTATTTGAAATAAATGAAAACACAAACTAATTATTAAGTTTAATCTTAATTTGTTGTGAATTAAATTTGCAATATCAAGGTATTCCTTTTCATTCACCTTACGTTTATGCTATGATTTATTTCCATAAAGAACATTTTAAAACTTCAGAAAGATGAATCTTTGCCAATTACATTTGTATTTCTCCTAAGTTTAGAGTGGCATTAAACTACTAAGTACATTTTTCTCCTTTCTACCTTTTCAGAAATGTGATGAACTTTGGGAAGACTTCCATCAAAAACTGGTGGATGGGTCATTGTTAACGCTGGATACATATCTAGGACAATTTCCTGATATCAAAGTAAAGTAATGATTTTCTACAAAGGACAAGTTTTAAAGTTCTGTTGAGTTGCAAAATAAATTGAAAATTAGATTACAAAGAAAAAAAATTTAAAAGGGTGGGAGGTGGAAGTCATGCTCTCCTGTAATGTACAAGATATTGTAAGTAAATTCCTGACATTAGGCAGGACTGATTTTCCAAGTGAACAAAAATATTTTTCATGCAGTAGTACATGGAAGTAAATTAGCCTTTGTAGAGGCAATTTTTATGCTTTTTTCCACTGCTGTTTCTTTGGTATGAGATAATTCTAACCAATTTCAGTAAGGACACATTAAGCTCTTCATCTGTTAAAATGCCAGACAAATTACAAGGAAAGCAGGCTTTCTGTTATTGGCTAGATGGATGCACCCGTGAGTATCTTTCTTTTATCTAAGCCATGGTTCCTGTCTTTTAATTAGTTATAAAAAGATTTTGTAATACACATCACAAGAGAATGTTATACAGATTCTAGCCTCTGCCACATGCCCATCTAGTATACAGTCCAGAGAAATGACTGATAAATGAAATGTGTGAGGATAAAGAAGCACTATAGGTGAGAGGAGATACATTTATATTTGAATATGACTGTATGGGCATAACTGGATTTTTTCTGTGAGGGTTTATAACTGAGCAGGTAACACACAGTAATCTCCTTTGTAATTTACATCAAGGACTAAAGAAAAAATAATCAAAGAATACCAACATTAGTGATACACAGTCCTAAACTCATTTTTAAATCAAGCTGTGATTATGCCCTCTCAGCATGTGGATTACATAGCTTTGTAAAGTCTATATCAAAGTATATCTATATCTAATATCTATATCTGTATCTATATCTTGAACTCCAGTATTTTAGATAGATGTCAAAACAACTATACAGAGAAGTATATATTAGCATTTTTCAAACTCTAGAAAAAAATGCATTAATTGCTGAATTTGCACACTATATATAAGGGAAAAAGATAGTGTTACCATGAGTTTAACAGGTTCACTGATTTTAGAGAATGTGACAAGTCTTATGTAACACTGGTACCTCAATTCTAAGGCCTGTAAGCCCTATACCCACGAAAACCCTTTTCAAACTATTTGTAAATTGATTCCTTTTTTAAAATAATGTGATTAGTTTGCCATTTTGACCATTTCCCTGTTCCTCCTATATGATATAATAATTCAGATATGAACAACAGAGAAGGGAGAATAAAAATATGTCAAAAACTAAATTAACAACATAAGTAAAATGGCTTTTTTGCTCCTCATATTTCATTTCTACCCCTGTACAGACTCGCATTGCAAAACGAAGCAGAAAGCTAGTGGACTACGACAGTGCAAGGCATCATCTAGAAGCCCTGCAGAGCTCAAAAAGAAAAGATGAGGGTAGAATCACCAAGGTAACACAAACAGAAACATGCTGGAAGAAGACCTGGGGAGACTGGGTGGTATTTTTTTCTGTACAGAGAGAGAGCACAAAATTTCTCTTCATTTTACTCCCTTAGAAATAATGATATCTCTAAGCAAAAATGTGTATTGAGTACTTTGGTTCATGTGATAGTCAGGCTCAGCCTCTTTCACTAAGGAGTCCTGTTTGGGACCTAACTTGCTCTCTTGATGAGACTGAGGGGACAGCAAATCCTGTACTGGCCTCCATGGTGTAAGACTGAGTAACATCCTTTGTTAATAAAAATTGTAAAAGACCCACCAAGAAAAAAAACACAAAAATCATTTTGGTTCTGTTATGTCAGAGTGATTTTAGAAGTCATCTGTTTCATTTTGGTTTAGGCAGAAGAAGAATTTCAAAAAGCACAGAAAGTGTTTGAAGAGTTTAACACTGACTTGCAAGAAGAGTTGCCGTCTCTGTGGTCACGGTAAGCCTAGAGAGATACTGTATGCAAGGCCTTAAATGGGGAGTAAGAAAAGGGAATCAGGTACTTTTAATGAGCTGACAGAAAATGAATTGCTGGGTTCTTGAAGATTCCACCCATTGCCTTTCTGAAATAATAAAAGGAAAAATGTATACAAGTGCTCCAAGAATATATGTAATGTAAGTGTATTTATGCTTATTTTTTTCAATGTATGTTGGCACTTAAGATTCACTAGCATATCTTCATTCTGAAATGCTAAAAGGTTCCATTTACTGAGTAAATAATTATGTTAGGGCACAGAGTAGTCTGTGGTGATTTGGGTCTACTTATAGATCATTTTTTATTATAACTACACCAGAAGACACATATTATAGTTTTGCACTGGTGTTAAATGGTTGTGATGTTAAATGACTTGATGGCATAGGTCATTCAGTCAAGATGTTTAATCACTAATTGTGTTTATACAGAAAATGCAGACAATATGAATGGGAGAACAAAAGCAGTAGAAAAATAAGCATCTCATTACTGTGTTATTTGTTATGTTCTTTAACAATTGACACATTTCACTGGAGTGAAAATATGAAGTATCCTTTGTCTTCTCTGCCTTCCAAATTAAATCCTGTTAAATTTCAGACCAACAGAGGATTTCCCTGCTGTGTTTCTGCCTATTTCAGTGTAAACCTTCTTAGCACTTACGGATATTTGTTTTATGGGCCTACCAAAAGTAAAACTGCATATAAATGACTTAGAGTGAGGGCCCTTTTACTTCAGTAAATTTTGTATAAAGACACAGTAGCTAGTCTCGGGGAAAGGTAGAATTTAATTTGAGCAATACGCATAATTTAGTAAGCAATTGCTTTCAGTGTCCTTTATTTTATTTATTAAAATTTTTCAGGAAGAAAATATTCTATTGAGTTGACATTTTGCAGGCTTATTCTTATTCCAAAGGCAATTGTTGTTAATCAAAGTTGGGAGAAATTATACATGGAAGTTTTAAATAGGAAAAATAATAAAACCTAAGAAAACAGCTTCTACTTTTGAAATGGAGAAGTATGTAATAATTCACCCCAAGTAAGCAGATTCTTGACTACATGCACAGAAATGTCTAGTCTGTATTAAATTCTTTTCTTTTATACACATGTGCATGTGTTTCAGAGCTGAGTTTGGGATGCCTGGGCTGTACTGAGCTGTATACACTCAAGGTGACCCAAGATGTAACTGCATCACCTTGATGCTGTGATAAGATTTGGGCACAGGGGTTCACAGTGCTGGAATGGTACCTTTCTCCTTTCAAGAAATGGTTGTGTGCTGTCTGGCAGGAGATGGAAGCCCAGAGCATCTTGCCTTCCCTGTGCTTGTGCTGTAGTTGAGACCATCCTTTTCCACTCTTCTTTAAAAAAAGCCAAAGACATTTGATGTGAAGTAGTCTTAGCTTGGTTGACTGGATGGTGTGAAATACATATCTTAACACTAATGGAAATAATCATTAAAAAATTAGTCTGAAATTTTGACATTTCATCATTTGCTTTGCTGAGAGTAATAGTCAAGAATGTTGTTTGTAGTCCAGAAAACAGTTAATTAATCTGCCTTTGTGCCCCTCCCACACATACCTTTTATTCTCTTTTTCCTTTCTTTGTGCCATCCTTTGTAGACGAATTGGCTTCTATGTGAACACCTTCAAAAATGTATCCAGCCTTGAAGCCAAGTTTCACAAGGAAATAGCTTTAGTGAGTAAAACTGACTATCTCATGTATAATGGATTATGCTATGCATGACAGCTAGAACATACCTTATAGTAAAAATCTAGCAGAGGCACACATGAGAATTTGCCATAGATCCAGATTTTTGCTACAATCATAATATTAATTTCTACTTGCCATATTTGTTCTCTCCTTAAGGAAGAAGCAGCCCCTACAATTTTGGATTGCAGTGCATTACCAGTTGTAGCACTAAATTCACTTTCTATTTTGATCAGTATTTCTGCTGTGCCCAATTGCTAAGCACTTCTTTGCTTTAATCAGTAGAAAAAAACCCATGTCAAACATTCCCTTCAAGTCAGCTATATGCACTGTCAGCAATGCAATATTTTATCTGTGACTGTTAGGCAAATCAAGCAGTTTCACTGAGGATCTTTTGAATGTACCTGGCTAAATAGTAGCATATAATCTATAGCAACTTTCAAATTGGAACCAAAATTTTTTTTAAAACTCAGTTTACTGAAGCTCTGTGAAAATTTGGATTAGATTTTTCAGGATCTTATTGGCTGCCCATGTTGCTTAAAACTTCAGATGACCTCCTTCATCAGAGCTCACACAGCAGTCAGTCTTACTTATGAACATGTTCTCTAAAAAACAACTCAAGGTTTTTAAGAACTGCTATTATCTTTGATTCTATGGATTTTGATGAGCTTCTGTTTAGGCTTTTGCTATGCATGGCACTGAGAATTTTAGGAAGGTTTTATACTGTAACATAAAGTTACCAAGTTATCATTTATCAAACCATATTTATAATTTTAATAATGCCTTTTTAATCATTACTATAGTTGTTCACATAAACTCTGGCAACTGTTTTGTTTTCACAGTTATGTCACAAACTATATGAAGTGATGACAAAGCTGGGGGATCAGCATGCAGACAAGGCCTTCACCATTCAAGGGGCACCAAGGTGAATTTATTGCCTTTTTAATGAATTGCATTGCTGTAGGCTTTGTGGGTTTCAGCATATGTAGCAATCACCTACACTGTGTGTAACACCTACACATGCTAACAGGCATTATTTGTTCAGGATGGTAAATGAAGGTATCTGGGATGAAGTTCTTCTCAACAGGAGTAAATATGCAAAGCTTCCTTCTTCACTGACTATTTTTCTAGAAAGTTTTTTCAAAAACAAAAACAAACAAACAAAAATAACCCCAAAAAACAAAAAAAAAAAAAGAAGGCTGTTTCAATTTAGCAATGTTCATTGTAGACTGTTACATCAATTTGCACCAACTAAGTGTATAGCTCATTTATTCTTACATACTTAGGTTACAGCTATGTTGCTAACTCGCATGACTTGTTTAAAGCCTTGAAATATTGAGATACGGTTTTAGCTCCTATTATTAGGTGAGAATCCCAAATTTTGAACGTTAGCTTTTATCTCTTCTACTTGCGGGGAAAAGTAAAGAACTGAGGGTACATCATAAAAGCAAAAAAAGCTGAAATAAAGAGAATGTCAAGCAAAATCTTGTTTTAAAGCACAAAATCAAAAGGAGTTTAAAATCAGATGGTGCTTTCTAAAGGTCAGCGAGTGCCAGTACAGGATTTCTGTACTGGCAACAGAAATGTACTTTCTGTACTTTCAACAAATGTAGCCTTTGTGCCATAATTTTATTTCTAATACTGATGGGCGAAAAGGCTGAAGTGTAAAACAGTGAGACTTATAAAGACACAATGATATTTAGAGTTAATGTATAAAGCTTGAATTTCCATTTAGTCCCAGCTAGTCAGAAGCAATCTGAACAAGGTTATATAGCTTTTCACATCCCACTCTAAAGGAAACCGCAGGGAATCCTTTTTAATGGATTTCTTGGACAAAATCAAGCACAAACGTGGCAAACATTATATCTCAGAACTATTTATTGCTAAAAAAGGATGTGTGTCCCTACTGGAGAGGGACAGAAAGTTAAGCAGAGCAGGGAAAAGAAAGACGGAGAGACAAAGGAGGCCATGGTCAGAACGTCACCACCCCAAGCCCAGGCTGCACCGGCGGCATCCCCCGGCAGGTGGAGCCTGCGCTCCCTGCCGGGGCGAGGCTGCACAGCTCTGGCGAGAGCGCGGCTCCCATGGCGGCAGCCAGGATGCTCCTGCGTGGAGGGGCGATGGGCCGGCTGCTGCGGGGAAGCGGCGAAGCTTAGAAGAGTAGATGGAACAGATGAGGACAGGGCAGAGAGTCAAGGAAGAAGCACGGAGCAGGGGCCGACCGAGGCAAACATCTAGACGAGCCCCGCGGCTCAGAAACTGAGACAGCGGGGTAGCTGTACCGCCGTGAAATGCTTTTATGTGCTCAGGCTCCTCCCATGGTCCGCTCCTTGTGGGACAACCATTGGCTAGTCAGGGGAGCTTGCGCTGGGTAGCAGGGGTTTCCCCGCCTGTGGAGGGAGTCTCTTGCAGCCCAGTGGTGGAAGACTTGCCTGCTCTGATTGTCAGCCTAAGTCTCCATTCTTTAAAGGGGTTGCCTGTTTAGGGACTGTAATGTCAGCGGTCTCTACCCCTTCATGTGTGCTAGCCACCTTCTGCACATCTTGGTGCTCAGCCTATGTAGAAATTTTCCACCCAATGTCAGAAAATCGGTTTATAACACAAAAGCCAGATAAAGTTGAGGCATAAATAAAAATTAAATTGGTTCATCACATAGCTACTTCTAATTTGCCCCCAAGATAGAGGTAGATTAGCAACAATTAAGACAAACCAAACAACATAACACCTGCCTCAAAAATATGGAAGATATTCCTCCCTTTGTTTTAATCTCACTTTGGAAGAACAAAGAATGATATCTGAAACTTCTGATGTAATGCACAATTCAGAACTACTTCATAAGAACATCACTAGAATTTGTTTTTTAGGTTATTTCAATGATAATCCATGCTTGTATATTACATATTGCCTTTGGAGCTGTTAACTTTGGCCCATTTAGGATGGACTCAAAATCTGGACCATGCTCCCCATAAAGGCATTGTAAAACACTTCTATGCGATGTGAAATAATGTAGTGTTGGAAGATTTCAAGCGCATTTTGTAAACAGCAAGTATTTTATCAACCTGTGTTTTTGAGACCATGTCCAATATGCATCATGCTTGTTCCCACTGAATTATTCATTCCATCATTGGGAGAAAAAGAATTATGCAACAAAATTATTTTTGCTGCAAATTACTAGATGTCATTTAATGTAGTGTGAACTTACTTTAAAAAAGCTTTCTAAAAATCCATTTTTTCAGTTACTTTGTTACTGTCTTTTGCTTGTCATGTTTGCAGAGCCTTGTGTGAAAATCTGTATAGATTTTGACTTCCCTTATTAGTTACCATACTCTAAAAGACTCCTAAGTGGGTCTTCACGAGATAAAACAGCTTTCCAATTTAGGTGCATGAGAAGTTGATACTAGACAAGTACAATATATAATCTTTCTTTTAAAGAACTGCATAAAAAGAAACATCTTAAGAACTTGTGTGCTACTCAGTACTCTGTCCTGAAGGCAAATATTGTACCCTGGAACATAAATTTCTTATGACTGCTTATTTTTTCTCTTTTAATATTTCCACAGAAAGAGGTGGTGAGTGTGAGCTAAGTTTGTCCTTCCAAAGAGCAGTTTTTCTTGTGTTAGCATTAGGATCATGCTTATGCTGTGGTCTCAATCAGGTATTGCTTCTGCTCTCCCTGAGGACGTGTAAGAGTCGCTTCTACTGAGTACTGTGGTTGTTGAGCACTGTAGTTCATAGCCTCCCTCACTGTAAGCTTTCAGCATATCCAGGTAGCTGAATATTTTCTCAGTGTTTGCACCAGGTCCTTTCATGGGAAGTGCAGATGCTTTCTACGACTTCATTAGATCTTTTCTTAGTATCACCAGAGCTCTGTTCAAGTCACTAGACTGTTGCTTGTTTATAATTTTTGCAATTTGTACTTCTGAATAGTGATATCTTTATAATAATCTTGGCTGTGTTTTGGTTTATTGAAACCTTTCAATAAAAACAAAAAGTTGCTGAGCTTTTAATATTATTTGCAGTATTCATTGTTATGCCTTCCTGTGGGTTTTTTTATCTTCAAAGTGTTCTGTTCGTAGAAGCATGTGAAATGAAGACAGTAAATCCATTTCACATTTTATAATGGTTATAAATTTATAAGTGAAGTGGTATTTCAAGTACAGAATCTGAAAAAATGCGGGTAGTCTTGTTTTCTTTAAATTATAATGATCAGGTAAACAAATGTTCCAAAAATCAAGATCATTCAAAATTAAAACTTCCTTTGACACTGAATTTTAATTGTCTTTAATTGCAATTTTAGTCACTATATAATGGCTTCATTCATCTCCAGTGTGCACTCTCTTTTGTGGTCACTGACATTACATCAGGGATGCAGTTCAACTGTTGCATCTGATTTTCAAGGTAGTAAGTCAGCAAGATATGTATGTTCTTGTCATCCCTTTGCTTCTGTCTAGTGATTCAGGTCCACTCCGCTTTGCAAAAACACCGTCACCACCAGAGGAGGTCTCTCCCCTACCTAGCCCTACTGCTAGTCCCAATCATATGCTGGCACCAGCATCTCCAGCACCAGCCCGACCGAAGTCGCCTACACAGGTAAGGAGATACCTGGCAGAGGGACCTGACCTGTTGTGCAGTGAAAGATAGCTGAGATGATGTACGTGGTGGATTTTTCATCTAGGCTGTGGTCTAGACTGAGTAGTGGCAGGGATGCTACTGGTTCTGTTGCAATCTGTTCTGTTAATCAGTTGTTCATCCCTGTGTCACAACATGAATAGAAATTATTTTTTTTTTATTAGGAGAATGAAGAAAATGTTAGGTTCTTGGTGAATTGGTAGGATTTGCAATGACAACGCATAACACTTCTTAAAAAGTTGTGTTGTCTCTAACGTCCCATATACCAGAAATGACAGTTTGAAAAGCCTATTTCCCTATTTCTAAAACCTCCTTGTGAATTTTTGTACATTATATATTTCTGCTCTTCATTCATCTTCAAATTTGTGTTTACCTTGGGAAAAATTAGCCAGTGAGTATCACTCATCTGGCCAATCTCTAAAACAATGAAAAATAAAGCTAGCTGAAATACTGCTCTACTAATTACTGATAGTTGAAGTCTTATTGGTTGTTTTAAACACTGATTGGGAAGTTTGACACTGTTGTAATCCATGGAGTAACTTCTGTTCTCACTAGTATTGGTAAAATAAGAATTGGTTTCTTCAGTTCCATCTGTAGCATGAGTTGTATATGATGTGTTGATTTGGAATTGGGATAGCTTCTGTGCTGATTGCTGTTTCTATGCTGTCTGCACATCAGAAGAAAATTAATTTTGTGTCTAGTGAGCATGTTTTTTTTCTCTGGTTTCCCAAAATGTGACAACTCACTGCCTGAGAATTCACCTGATAGGACTCAGCCTCACTGGTGCCAATGGTGTTATATCACTATACCACCTGAGGATTTTTTTTTTTGAGGATTTATTTTCTTGGGTTTTTGATAGATTTAAATATCCAATACTATTTGGTATTATTCCAAGCAATTAGATTGTCATAGTTACATGAATCTCTGGAGAGCAGGAGGAATGTAGTGAACTAGGCACCTTTGAAGTGCTATAGGTCCCAGAGATGATATGGTCTTAGCATTAAGTACACTCTAAGGCTAGCAACAGGTGGGCAGTGACAAAATCCCAGAGCTAAACACAAATGAACTCAAGAAGCCAAACAGCTGCAGAGGCATTGTTTCTGTGCAGTATCACCCTTCCAGCTATGGCCTGCATAGAAGAGCTGTCTTGTGCTGTGTGCCTGTCGCAGCAGAAGAAAAAATAACCAAGAAATCCTTTAATATCAGATCTGAAACCTTGAGTTTTAATGACTTTGAAACATAGGGTTGTTTTGCTCTTCCCATAATGTTTATTTCAGTACTTGGTTGTGAACATCTAAACAGTTCCATTCAATACATGGCTTATTCCCACGGCTTATTTAGGATGAAACAGCCAAAGTAAAAACCTAAGACAATTTGTTTAGGTCTAGCTTAAAGATTTTCATTTATCCCTGAACTAGTCTGTGACATTTTTGCTGTCTGCCTAGCTGAGGAAAGGTCCACCGGTGCCACCGCTGCCTAAACTCACACCCACAAAGGAGTTGCAACAGGAGAACATCATTAACTTATTTGATGACAACTTTGTCCCAGAAATCAATGTGACAACCCCATCACAGGTAAGCTTCAATGATTTGTGTAGAGGTCCACCCATGTAATCACCCTAAGTGCTCCAAGATAATGCCCTGGGGGCTGATCTTCATGGGGAAGGAGGACGAGGGTGGCGAAAGTACAAGGCAGAGGCACAATTACCACTTTCTGTTATCATAAGAGTTACACATACGGTGTTTTGCCTTGGAATAGGTCACACATAATCACTCAAAAGGGCTAACACTGCCAACATATTGAAAAAAAGAGCAATTTCCTGAGAGGTCTGACTGAAAATACTGTGATACAGTCATGTTTGAGATTTAAATGCATCCAGGTTGCATTACTAGCTGAGAGTTGATCTAAGATGCTTTTTTTTATGCTAAGCATCTCAAGTGGAACTTTACATAAATACTTCATTAAAAGTATTCCGTCTTTCTGTTGAGTGATTTTTAAAAAATGAAACTTCCTGGTTTTTACAGATAAAAGACTGCTTCAGCTAGATGATTCATTCACTTGGCTTTGCTCATAGAAACATTAGCTGCACAGCAGAGAGGGGTTCAAAATTCATTTTATCGTATTATTATGATATTTTTTAGGTTGCATATAATAAACAGAAAAGCCGGAATTGTGCAAAATAAGTCCATAAATTTTGTATTCACCTATTCGGCTTTTACATAGTTAGAGTGATTACCATTTTTTTCAATAGTGAACTCTTTCTTTCATGGTAACTGCAACTCTGAAATCTCATCCTGCATCTGATAGATTGGAGAGAAGTATGTAGATCTGAAGCTTATGCAGAATGTTTAGGAATGTCTGTTTTCATTTGAATCATTGGTTTCTTCTAACTCATTTGACAGCACAAGAGAACAAAGGCACAGCAATGAACAATGTATTTTGTACAATTTGAACATGTGATGTTTTATTTTCTTGTGGTAGGGAGAAACAGGCATTGCTCTATATAGAGATCTATTTGGAAAGGACTTATTTATAGTTAAGTCTCCATGGAATTAAAGAATTAAAGGCTACTCCCAGAATGCAGCTGCTGGTACTCTTTCTGAAGGGAGATGGCAGGTCTTTTGCATCACTGTACCCTGATTTCATAGGAATTAATTATCATAGGAGCATGAGCCTTGAAATCACTGGTAAGAGTTGGTGTAACCTGTGCTAGATATGGCCCCTTGCATTAAATACTGTATCTAACTAACATGCATATGTCAGGCCATCCAGGGAAGCAGAAATGAAACTAGTTTGCTTTTCCATTAAGAGATGACAGCAGAACAAGGCTTTAAATTAGTGTAAATCACATTTCCAGAATCCTTTAAACTTTCTGTGAGAGATTGACAAAAAAATGGAATGGCATAAAAGCGGGCATAAAAGCGGGCATGCTTCTGAGAACTGAAATCTTTTCCTCATCTCTCCAGGAAAATAGATCTCCCTTTAGTGAGTGATTTATGTCCTTCCCTCCTTCATAGTCAATGACTAGGGAGTATCCTAAGCTATTCCCTGGCCACCTTCTCATCAATCATCTGCACTTTTGCCTCCGCAAAACTCACCTGCATCACTAAAGCATCTTCACTATATATGAGATCTCTGAGTATATGTGGACATACCCAAATAATGTGATGTATAGATTTTCTATCCTTATGTATGTGAACCAGTTAAGGAAAATATATAGCATGAAATCCACAGTATAGGAGGAGCCCTAAACATCAAGAGGACTTATTCCTCTTGATGTGTAGGGCTCCTCCTATACTACCAGATCCCTTCTTGAGCAATATGGAGAAAGCTATTAGGCCTGCAGAGCCTGCCAATGGTACAGGACTTCCCAAGGGACCACCACTGGTGTCCCTGACACTGCTCCTGCAGAGGTACAAAACCAACATACTGATGAGTAGAGCTTTGCTGCTTTAGTGCAATGTTTTGGAAAAGATTACAAACAGGCCAAACTTTTGTTTCTTGAAACACAAATATCCTGTAATTGTTGTTGTTCCTCCTTCTTTACTAAGCAGTACTGATGCATTCACTGCATTAGTCCAAGATGGTGAAAGGCAGCTCTGCTTGATGCTGTTGAATATTTGTGCACTGATTCAACAGTGTCTTACACATCCAGGTTATTTTCCTTGTCAAAAATGGACTTAATTACTGCCTAGTAAAAGAAGGAGATGAGAACATGAAATATCTGGGTGACCAGATGAAAGGATCATTCAGAAATGTGTGTTCCTTGCTTTATTTCTCCTATTCTTCACATCATCTTTCTCCCTACTGTCCATTTACTAACTTGGACATTATAGGCCTTTATGTGCCCCCTACAGATTCATAATGTGTCTGAGTGTGCCTGACAGCTCTAAAGTGAATGGTCCATAACTGCTAAGGCTATTTTAAGGCTTGTAGAGACTGTGTGCAGAGAGAGGGTAACAGTTCTGGTAGTCCTTGAAGGTTTCTGGTGTCTTCTTCATTCCTTGTACATGCCTCTGAGAGGTACAACCTTGCTTCTGCCACAGCTGCCTCTTTCAAATGTTTAATTTAATCATGCTTCATAATGCTGTGGTGGAATAAATACAGGATATTTGGCAGACCTTCCTGTCATAGCTTTGTCCCTTATTGAGGGATATCCTGAGGTTCCTGTTTCTCCTGCATCTCCTGGCAATGTGGTCTCTTAGGTACCGTGTATGTTTATTTGGGGCTTTGTCTCTAAAGTTAAGATGAGGGTTCTCTTCATTTTGGTCTGAGGGGCATGGGTAACTTTTGGTATCAGTGATCAGTGCCCTGTGACTTCCAATACTTTATCTGGTCTATGGCCTTAAGTAATACTCCTGTTAATTTGATTCAGTCCTCAAAGGTAGCAACTTCATCCTCAAACCTTGGTGAAAGGAGACATCTTTTATGTCTCCATCCAATTCTGATTATATGCCAGTAAATGCTGTTGTTTCATCAAGTTGTATGACTATATGAGTATTAGTGCCTCAAGAGCATATGTGATAAAATCTAAATAAATGAGCATAGTGTTGGTTACTGGTAGGAGTGGTGGGTTTGACTTTTTAAAGTGTGAGACACTGGCTTCATTGTATCAGACCAGTTATCTGTCATCACCAGTGATGCCAGAAGGCCAAAGAAAGAAGATAAATCAAGGCAAACAATGGTGGTACTCCTGACACCCTCTTCTACTAGATTCTCTTAGCCTCCATTCTTTTGCTGCTTCCTCAACATGATTCCTACCAATTTAGTAAGCCTCAGCAGACTACTTTGCCACAAATTTATTCACTCTTTCAGCATGTGTACATTTTTCACATTCACACTACCTGAAGCCAAGAAGGTCCCCAGCTGGACCCTGTGTCGCATGGAGCAGCACCACTTCTTTATTTTACATTTGCCTCCATCAACTGTGCTGCCGGCTTTTTTCCTGCCTCCCTGAAGAATCAGGGAGTAGCCCTGTGCCTCTCACACTGGTAGACATCACCCCTTCTCACATCACCTCTAGCACATCATACAGACTGAAGAGTTCTAGGTCACTCTATCATTCCTAACATGAGAGCTGAGGAGCTCTTTTGACCATGTTTGCAGGTGACACAGAGAGTTATGGTGTTTTGTAGCATAATGGAAGCCATTAATTACCTAACTTTGAACATCTGTTTACCATAGTAACAGTAATTTGGAATGTTTATACTCTTAAATGTTTTAATAACAGAAAGTCTTTGCTCATTTATTTCACTCTTATTGTCATCATCATTATTATTATTGTTATCTCCTAGTTGTGCTGGGTTTATACATGCCATATGGCAGTAGACTTGCCCATTCGTACAAGCTCTCTCACTGTTTAACTGAACAACTAGCAGTAGGCAGTACTAGCCTTGCTAGCAAGACCAAGATGCTTGCCTAGAATATTAACAATTAATGATAATTAAATCTCAGCTATAGTTTCCCACTAATTAGAATTTTATGTTGAAACACACTAATAGTTTTTTCAGGTTAATTTATAGCAGAAAAGACCCATTGAACATGTATATGTGTATATATCTTTATAGTGACCTCAGAGGCCTTGGCTAATTTATTAATTGCAAACCAAAAACACTCTACCATGTAATCTGATGAGCATATTGTAGAATCATAAAATGGTTTTGGTGGAAAGGAACCTAAAGATCATCTAGTTCCATCATAAGAGTGAATAAGAGTGAATCTCATAAAACTTACACTAAAGCCCAGGAAAATCTTCAGAGCTTCCTCCTCTTCTGGTGTGTGCCACAGCTAGTAAATCTGTGGAGTGTTTTGTTTCTTTTCTTGATCATTTTGATATTTTACTGCCCAGGGCAGCATTTAAAAGATAAATTTTTCAGAAGTTATATTTCTCTTCCAAAAGAATGAAGTACCTGAAGCTAAGAAAGAGGAATCGTTACTGGATTTGGACTTCGACCCCTTCAAGCCAGAAGCTGTGTCAACAGGAGTTAGTCATTCACCCATGTCTCAGGTATCTCTTTGCCTTGACATAGTCAAAGCATATGAATGCAATATACTGTGTTTGATAGAAAAGGTTTGCCTCATATATTAATAAGAAATATCTGAAAAACTTTGTCTTCCTGAGAAGCACAAGTCAGCCTTCTGTCTTCCCCATCAATAATCATGTACTTGATGATGTACTGGAAGAAGAGGAAATTGTTAGGGGGTAAAATGAGATGTCTGCTGCTGAGAATGGTTGCTGATACCTTGGCCTTGACTTTAGCATCCATCATTAGAATAACTCTTAGTGTAAACATTATTATTCTCCAGTGCTTATTTTTCTGACAACTTTTCTGACCTGACTTTGATTCTTCATATCTGGAAAGGTGCCTTAGAGGACCTAAGTCTCATGGAGTCAGCATGCAGTTGCTTTACTGTGATGGAGTTTCTGTATTAAGCAGTGGTATGATCTGAGTAGTTTTGCTATTAATCTACTTTAGACCTAACCTCAGGGAAAATTAGATTATGGAATAGGGTGTTTTCTTGTAGAATGTTGTGTTATTGAAAGTCTACATTCAATAGTAATATTTGTAATGGTGTTTTTTTTGCAGCAACATGAAAAAAAAAAGTAAAAACTAAAAAAAATTTTTTAAAAAGCTAATATATTAAGTTGCTGATATTCATTGGCTTATCCTACAGGACATGCTATTTTAAAATCTAGAATTCATCCTCACTACCCAGAGGGCAGGTAGCAGGGTACGGAAGATCTCATGGCCAGCGTGTCTGTATCCCTGTTTTGTACACAAAGAAGTAATGTTAATACCCTGTTAGCAAGACCTATCATTAATCTGGCTTGTTCTGTGAGCCATGAGAAGACTTATCAGCTGTTCAGAAATGCAGGACTGGGAAAGGAGTGAGAAGACAAAAAGCTTTAAGGCTGAGATGTCCTGATTCTCTGATGATCTCTACCTCAGTTAATTAATTTCTTAGTGTGAAGCCCTAGTTATGTAATGAGATCTGGAGTGATCTCTGACAAGGTGTGTGCTGTCAGAAAAAGGATGCACTGTCAACGCTCTGAACATTAGCTGAATTTTCTCATTGAGATTTGCTACGAGAAGTGTTCCATTCTAGCAGAAGTTTTGTGCATTTTACTTGTTATGTTTTTTCTCTCTCTAAACAGAGAAAAGGAAGGGGAAGGCAAATTACATTCCATAGCATTCAGCTGACAGAAAAGACAGATTCAGTGACAGATAAGACTAAGTGTGACTTCACTAATTACTCTTTCAGCTTGTTTTATAATAATGCTGATTAGAGCAGTGGGATCATTAAACAGAAGATTTTATGACAGAACGTATTTGTTCTGACATCATATTGTACAGATTGTAGAAAAGTTTATTACTTTCATGAAAAACACTTATTTTATATTCAACTATATTATGAAATACAGAGTATAATTTTGTGTAGAAAGTTTGTGTTTAAAAAGTTACTATCTAGGGGCATAAGAAGAATTCACTGGGCACCTTTACTCACTCCTTTCACCTTTCTGCAGAACAAAGGCATATGAGAAAGAATGGCCCACATCTACAAGAGCTGTGGATGTGTCAGAGCACTATGATTTTAGAAGGGAAGACAGCCTGAAGTCTGGGTCTTGTTCTCACTGGAGTTGACAGGGTCATTCTTATGTTGTATAGAGAGAATGAAACCTCTGGCTGCAGAGCCCTGTGCTTGCAGGAAGATTAAAAAGAGAGCTTTAAATGGTATTTCCATATGTGTATAGTTTTTGCTTCAGTCATGGATATTTTCCATTCAGCAAACAGCTGAGGTAGAAGTGTGAAGACAGGAGTGGCCATCTGTGGATGATGCCTTGGAAGGCCTGGCATGGCTTATTTGTTATTTATTTAATTAGTTAGTTAGTTACCTCTGCTCTGCCAGGGTGATCCAACCACAGTAGGTGAGCCCTGGTCTTGTTCAATTCCTTCAATTGCTTTTCTGTTTCTATGGCTTCATTAGAAGGGACCTTTATATACGTGTCTGGTTCTCTTCTCTTTTGATACAAACCAGGAGGGTTCTGTCTCATGTGGTGGGCTATAAATATTTGGCATGAAGTCTGCTGCTTTTCTTTCATTTGTCTATTTAGCTCTTCTGTTGAGAGGTCACTAGCATTAATTAACAGACTGGACAAGAAAAAGAAAATATTGGTAAACTTTCTTATTTCCTTTCACAAATAGTATTGCCATTTCCCTTTCTAGTGTCAGTGTTGTGAGGAAGCCCACTTATTCTCAGTGGATAGCTGTGTCATTTTTAACTGGCTAGAAAACCACAACTTTGTAAGGTCTTTAAAGCTGACACCTTGCAAAGGCTCATATACCTATTGAAAGTCACTCAGTCCCCAGTTCCAGACCTGGCCATTACTCATGCACACAGCAATGTGAGTTTCCTGAAAAGCAACAACTACTTTGAAGTGGGAAATACCACAATGCATTGCATACTTCCCATCTTTTGTAACCAGAAGTGTTATGTAGATACATACAGACACACACACACTTGGACATGTGCTAATATATAAGTATGTAATATAAGCATGCTTATAAATAAGTTCTGTCTTCTCATTTAACAAGGATTGTTATGTAGCATGTTGGACATACAGTACAGGAATGGTATTTTTCTGACCAGCTCTTTTTTTCACTACTTTTTCCAGACATTGCCATGGGATCTATGGACGGTAAGCCTGACATACATAATAGTGTTTCTGTGTCTCTAATTTTGTAACTTAAATTCAGATTTACAAATCTTTTACCAAAAGCCAAGATAAAGAATTCACAGATCATGAAAAAACTCTTTCAAGTATATGAAGCCACTGAGTATCTTTTAAAACTAACAACAATAAAAAATAATCTCTGTTGCTTAGCCTACAAAACCTAAATGATGTCAGAAATCTAGGCTAAAAGATTCACAATCACTACAGTTAAGTGTGTTGCTTTTAATATGCCCAAAATACAGCTATTAGAAGGTAATTGTGGATATAAGTCAGTTGTTTGAAATACCTGAAGGTGTCCATTAACCCAACAGACAACCATTTTCTCAAAACTAGGAGTTAAGACAGAATTTAGCTTGTCTTTGTGGGCAATACAGTGAACAGGAGGTACTCACAAAAGAAACTGCTGCTATAGGAAACTGCATGAATCCTTCCTTCTTCCTCTTGGTGTCAAATCACATTAATGATCTGCCGGAAGAAAACAACCCATTTTTGTGAGCTTTCTTTTGACTCTATGTAATGGAGTTAGCTGAGTTGACTTGACATGGAGGCTGGTATGTTCATGTTTGACCTTTTGTAGCTTCAGCCAGCACAGAAATCTGTGAATGCTTGTCATGTATTCAGATTCACAGCACAGTTTTTTTCACATTCCATATGTGATGTACATTAAATGCATATGTCCTTATATTGAGTGTGGTTAAATAAAGCTCGATAAAAACAGTCATGTATGTAGGCTAGCCAAAATTTCAAGGCTGCAAATATCTGGACCACATGAAATAATCCAGTAATGTTGAGAATGTATTGCTCTAAACTTAGATTAGATAGCTTTATTAATGTCTTCTTTTTGCACAGTTTTATTTATAGCTTTTTAATGTTATGTATTTATTCTGTATTATCATTTTTTTATCTTTGCTCTATTTTTTAAAAATGCCAGTGTACTTCATAGCTAAACATCTGAAATAAAAATGTCAGTGACTCACAAGGGAAAGCAAGAGGTGATCGATATTCAACATACATTAAGAACTTTTTTATAATGTAATTCAGATGTTTGAAATTCACAGGCCTGGAAGTAGTCTTGGGTGGAGTAGTGGAAAAGGACCCACCACTCCTTCCCCACTCTGATTTGGTAACTGCAGCTGGTTAGAGAACTGCTAATTAAAGAACTGCTACTGTATCAAAATAAATTATGTTCTTCTTTTCTGTGTTTTATGTGTATGACTTCGTTCTATACAGACAAGCAGCGAATTGGTGCAGCCGGTAAGCAAACCACCCCCCAAAGTCACAACCACTCTAGAGACTTCTTTAATCACTGTGGTGTAATACATAGTTTTCTGGTTTTTTGTATCAGTGCTGCTCTTTTGCATTATAATTTATTGCCTTCAGATTGCAAATCACATAGCTTTTCCTAAAATTGCTTAATGTAGTCACTTCATTTAGGTTAAAATTGCTCTTGTAAAATATAAATGTTGTGTTTTCTCATCAAGTCCGCCTTTATCTTTTTCATGTTGTGTTTTTTCTTTGCTTTTCTGCCTGCTTAAAGCCTGATTCGTCAAAAAGTCTTTCCCTGTGTAACCTGATCATGGAGGAAACCCCAAACAGTGGGTCATCAGAAGATACTAACAGATCTCAAACTGATCTAGGTTCACTCAACTGGGGCCTAGATGTTAGCACACCCAGTGTCAGCCAGGAAATTACTGCAGGCAGTTCTTTGCTTTTCCCCAGGGCAGAGCAGACCTCAAGCAAATCCACGGGTGCTCTGCCTGTTAATGTTTGGCCTGCAGTAGGTGAGCAGGAGGATGCTGCACCAGGGCCAGCTTCTGTAAGTGAAAACCAGAGGACTTCACTGGAGGACCAGTTGGATGCCAAAAGTATCGTGTGGAAAGATGTGGTGACCAATCAGCCTTTAGAGAATGTAACCAGTTTTGAGGCACCCATCCTGGGAACTGATAGCTTGTTGGATGAACCACTCCCCTGTGATATGCAAAAGGCAGAGGAAGAGCGTGAGGAAGAAGAGTGGGCAGGTGTCAAGCCAAGTGAAAAGGTAGAGACTGGAGCTAACTACAAGGAGGTAGAAGGTACAGAGGAACTGGAAGAGCAAGGTTGTGAAATTAAAGGAAACAGTGAGGCAGAATTTCATAACAGTTTAACAAAATCAGATCTTGAAATTTTGGTCAGCACAGAGGTAGAAAATTTACATGAGTTTCAAGATAATTATAGGGATACTGGGAGAGCTAGTCATGCTAACCTAGAAGACTCTACAGAAGAAGAATTCAAACAGGCCAATGTCATTGAGGAGATGGTTAGAGAAATGCCATCATTGAAGACAGGGCTGGAAAGTGGGGACAAAATAGGGGCATACAATTGTAAGACTATAGAAAACACTGGCTCTGAACCTGAGAGAGTCCTTGGTATCTGGGATGAGGACCATGGAAATACACTAGAGGAGGCCTTAGAACAAACTGACAGTGGTACTGGACAGAGTACATCCATGAAGCCTATAAACATGAGGGCACATGTTGACCTAGACCACACAGGCAAGTACCCTCCAGATACTGGAAGTGATGTATGTGATGCTGAATTATTCAGTGCTGAAGAGTCTGGTAAAGGAACTGAAGATAACAGCATCAGTCACCTCCCAAATGGTAGTACTGGTACTAAAGATCAAGCTGCTGCTGAAAAACAGTGGGCATTGCTGCCCAAGGCAGCTGATGCTGCTAGCGCAAGCTGTGATAATCCTTGCCTAGATAATGCAGATGACCAAGTGACAAGTAGGACAGCAACAGCAGTCACTGAAGTGATCAGCAGTGGTGTCCCTGAAGCCTTGGAAACAGAGCCCTGGCTGGCAAACTGGGATCCAACAGTTACTAATGATTCCTGGGGTTTTTCTAGTCTGTCAGATAGCCAAGCCAATGGACTGGATAATTGGTCCTTTTTCCCCAAGGACCAAAACTCAGAGGAAGGTAATATGGAAAATGTTTGGTTAGGCATTAGTAATAAATGGTCTACAGAAGACCTAGGAGCTACTGATAACAGCTGGGGGGAAGTAGGTGCAAGCACAGGCCACATAATTCAGGAGACACTAGTAAAGCAAGGTTTGCTTGGGGAGCAGGCAAGCAAGAGCAATCCTGGACCGAGCAAGGAGATAGCTAGACCCTTGTCTCTGTTTCAAATGGGAAATTCCAGAAATGCTAGCACCGAGAGTTCAACTAGTCCTAAAGACAATGATACCAACAATTCAGACTTATCTGAAGATGAAATTGCTAACCGGAGATATGGATTGTTGTACCAGGAAATTGAGACTGATAAAGAAGAGGTACCTACCCCAGTGTGTAGCATAGTCTAGACAAAGAGTTCCTTAGGCCATGCATATGCTTGTTGTTTTAAAACATTCAATTTGTGTGTTTCCTACTGCCCTTCCTAAGTCCATGCTATTCTTTTTTTGAAAAATTGCCATGCAACTCTTCATGGTGTGGTGCCCTTCAGCCCTTCAAGCAGGCTGACAAAAACTCATTTCAAAATGGTGAATGAAGCATTGAACTGTGAAGACACATTTTGTCTGGCAGCTTTTGTGTTTTATCTGTAGATCTTTAAATGCACCTGGCCTTTTTTTTAAATTATTGTTTTTTAAAAATATTTAAGGTACTCTTCTTTTTCTCATTTTCTTTAAGCCTGTGATGTCTGTTATCAAATACCACTGTTATAAAAATTTCTTGCTGCCTTACCCTTAATTTTATTTTTTTCTCTATTTTTTCTTTTTTGTTTTATTTTTTTTTATGTTTGGCCTTACATTTTTATTTTGCAAATAAATATAACTCATTATACTCAATAAATCATTAACTCAATAAAAACTCATGATCAGATTTAGTAAACAAATGATAATTTGTTCTGATCTTCACTTCTACTTAGGCATCCACCATAGCATTTAATGGATTTGCACAGGTAAGAAATAAACAGGTTTTGAGATAATTTTTTTTCTGTGCTATTAGGAAGGCACTAGAACTGGCTATATAAATTCAGGAAATCTGTTCTACAGACAAGCTGCATTGAAACATCATAGTGTCTCAAATCCAGACCTTGTGTGTTGTCAGAAATTCTTAGATGTTGCTAGAAAGATTCTGATAGCCTTCTGATAGGACTATTGGCCTGACTAAGTCTAAAGCAAAAAACCTGACTACCTTAGTGGGACAGCTATTTTCTCCTAAAATTGCTAATCTAGCTCTTTTATTGTGCTCTTTTGTGGATTATTTTTCTCACAATCCCAAAATCCTGTAAATCACATTTTCAGTTTCACCTATTTTCAGTAACTCTGTGTGTAAATATGTAGTAAGTTTTAATTTTTTTCTTCATTTTAACTTAAGATACATTTTGCTCTCAAAATTTAACGTAAGTTGTTTATCTGCTGTAGTGGTGATGGTGAGTCTGTGGTATGCATCACAGAGATACAACACATAAACACACAGTGCTTATGCTTTCAGATTCCAGGGCTGTATTAAGATCCCAGATTTCATGGGGAGTACCTAGGGCCTCATTATTTTCCATCATTCTCTTAGAGACTGACTCAACCACAGCACACCCTCTACACCAAATTTTAATAGTACCCAAAAAGTCTCAGCTTATACAAGGATGGAAATGAGATGATTAGGAGAATCCCTATGATAGGAGGATGGTAGGACATGATAGGAGAAATCCTATGATTAACCATTCTGTTCCAGGACATTTGGTGTAGTAATGGATCCAGATGGAAGGGCAAAGTACAAGGATCTGATGATTAAGGCAAAATGTTTATCTGGAGAAAATACGTATTTTCTCTCTCCTCTGTGGTAGGAAAATAATTGGCCCAGCAATTTTTTGCAAATTAATTGGTTCTGAGTGAGCAAGATGTTGGGAAACACCTCCATTTTTCTACTTAGTACAGGTAAAATTTTGTATTTGTAATTACTATAGTTATTATTCAAGTAAAAGCCCATGATCAAGAGAAAAGTACCTTACAGATGGCATACTCTGCAGGCACAGCAATGTGTAATCTACAAAAAGGATTCAGAGTTCCACAACTTAGAAGTGCATTGCACCTTAAATGAAGTCCTTGTGAATCATGTGTATTTAATGAAGGGTGTGAATCACAAGTATTCGCTGTCTTTAGTGAGGTGAAAAATGTTGGTTTAGAAACATTGAATATATAACTGAAAAAATAATGTTTTTAAAATTAATAGTACTCAGATAATATAAATAAATATAAATATAATTTTAGTTCCGTTTATTTGCCATCTTATTCTATGTAAATGTAGATTAGTGATTTTACCTGAATAAACCATTAAAAAATCAGGTATTTGATGGACATCTGCAAATATGCTGTCTCAAATATTTTTACATTATTTTTTCATTTCTGTTTTATTTTTTCATTTCTATGTTCATATGTTTTTCATTTCTATGTCTAGGATATATCTGCATTTACAGTGCAATCAAATGAGAATGTGGAAGAACCTTTGGTAAGTTGTGGCTTTTAGTTCCTTTTAAATTGTCTTGTCAAAAAGGGTACAATTTCTAGTTTTTGCAAAGATATTTTCACTTTTTTGTTGTTGTTGTCTTCTATCCTTTAAATTACACCACCTTATGCAAGTCTTCCATATGGAAGAGCTGGTGAAATCATTGTAGTTGTAAATCCATACTCACTGAAACAATCTTTCACAAGGATAACACAGAGCAAAAGAAAAGAAAACCAGAACATTGTAAGGTATGTTTATTTTATAAAGGTGTAGTCAAACAGTTTGTTCATTTATTGCATTTAAGAAATTACTAGAATGAGTACTATGGTCCAGTGTACAGCAAAGACCTGATAGTACGTGATAGCTGTTACATATCTCCAAAACTGCTGTAATTTTATCAACTCACCACCATATTAATGGTGGGCACAGTCTAATTCTAAGGAGTGAACAATCTTCTTGGAAGTGATCATACCAGCAGTTTCTTAACTCCTCTTACAGTCTTTGCGTAGCCTGGAAAAAGCAAGAGAATAACAGCATTGCTGACTGAGTGCTGTAGTTACTTAATAGCAGCAGGGTGATATTTAATGTTATTTAATGTGGTGTTTGTGCTCGTTATGGTTAATATTGTGAGAGTATTTTTACTCATAGCTGTAATGTAAGTCATCTGAAGTATGCTCTTCAACAAGTGACTTGAAGCACATCAATGTAGTCTGCTTTATGTTACTTGTGATTTTAAATCTGAAAGAATCTTCTAGCATTAAATGCCAGGAAACACATTACCTGGGATAAATCTACTTTATGTTTCTCATTTCAGTCCTATTTCTTCTTATGGAATTCTCTAGAGCTGTCATTAATGCAGTACACAGAGAAATTTTCGCCCAGTATTGTATAATATAGGAGCGAATGCTCCTTAATGCTGTGCCAGATCCTGAAGGTCTTGCATAGGCAGACTTCTCTGTAAGTCATTACAGAGATGTCGTCCCTCATTAAAAATCAGCCTGCTTAAGGAATATATGCAAAGAATTGAAAGGCTATGTTTGGTTTTTTTCCTGAAAAATACCAGGAGGAGAAGATCTTTAAGATGTTAAAGAATTTCATAGAAGCTGTCTCTTCTTCACAGAAGATACCAGATTCTAGCCAGCAACCTGTTATCAACTGCAAAGCAATTGCTTTTGAGCTTTATATTATGCTGAGCAATTTGTTCACAGAAAATTTATCTATTGGGGTTATGATAATCTGGTTGAGTCAGCCATCTTATATATCAAATATGCTGAGCATAGCTTGGAGTTCTCCCCTTGTTAGGTGCATGTATTTGCAGAGTAATGTCTCTATTGGAGATCACTCTTCTGCCGTGAGCTATTTTGCCACAAGACTGAACAAGTTACAGGGCTGGTGATATTTCATAGATCCTCTTGTTGGAAAACAAGCGGAGGCCAGAATTTAAAAGGGTGGAAATCCCAATGAGGGGTTGATAAATGAGTGCCTTGTAGGTGATTAAGTGCTCAAGAGAGAATGCATTTTAATAAGAAAACAGAGGTGGTTGCTAGAATTCATTGCTATTATTCAATCACTCATTGTTTGTACCATTGTGTACCAGGGTTGGTACACATGGGTGCCATTTTCAATTTCTGGCCTTGCCAGCAGTTTCTGGAGCATTTTTGAGCAAACTTGGTGCTTTCCCCCCACTTCCATTACCTCTCACTGTAACTCAGGAAGCTTTCCTTGTGAGGGAGGCATGTAGGACTGGCTCATTTTACATAGATAATATTGGTGATGAAAATGCCCTTTACATGCTGTCTTTTACTGGGGACAAAGCCTGGCAAGACTGAGCCTGAAGCAACACTGTGCCAGGCACAGTTCCCTTTCTCCCTCTTCCTCCCCAACATCATATGCTCCTCAACAATTTTTCCACTATCTACTTAAAAATCAATAACAAAAGACTGAGGCTGAAGAAACTCCACCTGGGGAACCTAAGGTTGAGGAAACCCCTGCTGCTGCTGCTGTTGTGGAAAAGGAGGCCATCCCTGCTGAGCCGGCAGAGCAGGCTGTGGTGAGTGATCGGTCCTCTATGCCACCTCCCAGGCCTCATCGGAGCCCTTTTTTTTTGTGGTGAATGTGCTTGCTGCATTTCAGTCATCCTTTCTACTGTCATCCTCCATGGCTGGTTTCTCTGCTGCCTACTGTGTCACAGCATGCCTCTCCAGCTTGTGCCCCTTTCAGCCCTAAAATGTCATTCGTCTTACAGTGGGCATCTTAGATTCAAATTTGGCTGAGTGGTTGTGGTTTCACAAGTTGTTTGATGCCAGATGAACTTCAGAATGGGAAAGAATTGATGCCATTTTTAAATGATGTTATTAGCAATTTTCTCATTTCATTTCAAGCACTAGGCTAATATACATCTTGTATGGTCCTTACTAGAGCAGGAAAATTCCATTAAAAAGTTATTGTAGTAGGTCTACAAGTCTCACAGTTTTAGAAGCCAATTGTGTGCCAAAGAGAGGACACTGAACACCAGCTGGGAGACTTTTTACAGGTCAGAATTCAGGAGATGAAGAAGAAATTACAGCTCTGCATGAGGAACAAAGCAAGGCATCCAATATCACTAAAATGAAGTAAATTAAGAGGTGGTCTGAGACAGTAGGCATGGAGTTTTTCTGCTGACTAGCATCCCTTTTTATACAGGTATCTCAGTGCATCTTCTTTTTATCCAACTGAAGTTCCTCTCCTACACGGGCTAGTGTCAGAACGTCTTGGTGGTGGATGATACTCACAGGCTAAGAAACCCTGGAGGAAAACTGCATCTGTTTTTGTAGTCTGACATCTGTCATGCTTTCCTGAAGACAGTAACATGTTCAGAGGCTCTGCTGAGTTGCTGGTAGAATATGAAGATTACTACTGAAAAACTGGATGGAAAAAAGGGGTTGTTTTGTGTGTCAGTTTCTCTGCCACAGAAGCTGGTGGAAGATACATAACTCTGTTCTTTGTCTATCAAGCATAGTTTGGTGTTACACATGTTCTTAGATGAGAAGGTTTAAGCTTGCTAAGCTGCACTTGGACTTGGGGAGACCCTGTGTGTCTTCTGCTGCTAAGCAGGGATGATGATACCCAAATAACCATAAAATTACATGGTTTTCAGTAAGCGTTTGATACACTGCCATATGGATATCAATATTAAGCTAATGTAGATGCAAATTAGCTGAAGAAAGTGGAAGTATCTGTACATGCACCTATAAATGTGGCAGCAGAGAACACGGATAGATGTCTAATTATCAGATATCAAGCTGCTGAGCTCTTCCTAACAAAGAAAAAATAATTTATTGCGTGAGGAAAGTTGGGCAGGACTAGATGGGCTGTTCTGCAGGACTTTGGGGGAAAGGGCAGATAATACCTGGCTCTGTCCAACCTTACCCATTCTCTGGGGATGCCTAGCAGCATTGGACCTATGGAGGGAAGCAGTCACAGTGTCTTTCCCAGAACTACATTTAGGTTTAGTTCTGATTGCACTTGCATGAATTTTGAGTATTTGTTTCATATTTTAATTCACTTTTGCTTGGTTCCATGGTTCACACTGGAGGAAGTTATTTCAGGATCATCCCCTTCTACTAACATAACTAGATGAAGAAAGCTTCATGGTTTGTGTAGACCAGCCTCTCCCCTTCTATGTGTTTTCAGTTCATAGTGTTAACTCTATAGGAAGGCAGAAAATGAAATTACTTATCTAAGGCACATTGTTTTGTCAGACTGTTGATAAAAATGCCTCATGTAAATGTGATGGTTTGGAATAAAGAAAGTGGGAGGGAAGGTGGAGAGAGAAGGAGTGGAAAATTGGTCATTGATCTGGAGCTCTTCTCTTCCCATGAGTGCATGGCAGGGAATAATGTGGAAGAACAGATATTAATGAAGCCAGAAAAGTGATTTTATTTTGAAAAAAAAAAATGTAAAAGAAGTTCCTCATTTTTGCAAAAGGAAACATTTTTGTCCTGCACTAAGACAAAGCAATACTCTGAAGCCTGTTGCACATCTTAAGCACTAATTAAACAGTCTCTGTCTGCAGTATCGTGCATTTGCTTGCTGGCTGGCATGACCTTTTCAGTTCATCCATTTTGCTCCTGAGGAGTTCTGGGTCTATGGTCTGTTGTCAGCTGCTCTGGCTGAATCACAGGTGTGCAGAGCTATTGGAAGAGAGGTAGAGATAAACAACGCAAGAGACAGACAATTTAAGAGCAATCCAAGAGGAGGAGCATAGGCATTAAATAGAAGTTAAACAGTTTTGATTAGGTTTGTTCTTGGTGTTTTGTTGCTAATTCAAAATCATGTTGTCATTATTAATTTGGGAAAAAAACCCAAAGTGTTGGTTTTAAAAATGCCTGAAATGGAGTGACTGCATTCGTTTCTGAAAGGCTTTTATTTTAGAGGGGGTTTTCCAAGAACCTTTTCTTTGCAAAGAAGGGTTTTGAAGATTAGGATTAATGACAAATATGTTCAAAGATAAGGAAAAGTACACTGAATTGCAAAAGATGAAAACATGTCATTTCCCAGCAGCACTTCTACATTCATTTGCTTTATGAGTGACAGTTTTCTTTAAAAGTAGAATTGTAAAATGTTAATTAGGAATCTTTTATTGAGTTTAATTGCTTCCAGTTTTGAGTGACAGCCAGTCCTCAGTTGAGTTTTTCTGTGGTAAGTTTGCAGTCACATCCGGTTAACCCAAAAAATTTATGTCATAGATCCTTCATTATAGGAACTTCACAGTAAATTTTCTGGTAGGGTGTTAATTTAAATTATGGATAGAATGGTCCAGGGGATAGGGTACTACTTGCCTGTCTGGACATTTTGGATTCAGTTACTTGCTGTTTCATAGTCTGCCTGATCAAGATTGGCAAAACTTCATTAGAAGAGCTCATCAAAATTGTTGCCTAGGATCTCTGCATATCTTTGTCTTGGTCCTTCAGATCTCCAGTGCCATAAAACAAATAACATTTTTATTAGTAGCCCTCAACATTTGATCCTTTCTGGGGAGGTGATGAAATGATAATTAAAGGGACAGAATGACCATGTGTGCCAACAGAAGAAAAGGTAATCATGGTAAACAGCTTATGCATGGAATTCTCCACACAGAAAGAGTTGTTTTTCTGTTTCTAAAGCATCCCCAAAGGCAGCTATAAATCCAAAGGATAGTCTGAAGGATATATTGCCTTAAGCACTGGCTTCTTTCTCTTTCAAATAATACTGCCCCTCTCACCACATCATTTTTTCACATTCAAGCAAAGATGTCATGAGGACATCATAATAAAGTGAATGCTTATGAAATGTTGCCATTTCCCTTTTTCTTTTCCTGCATGTGAGACATAGTGCTTGAAGATCATCTTTTCTACTTCCACTGCACTTAATAGTTTGGAAAAACTTCTCAGTGCTTCAGGTCTGATGCCTGCCTGGACTATAATGTTCTCCCACTTAAGCAGTCAGATGCTCAGCTAAATGCTGTGCTTTTCAGTGTACATAAGCATACATTAAGCTTTTTGTTGACAGAGTGAGTACAGCAGAGGCCTGGAAACAGCCTGCAACCAAGCATATCTAATTAAAGTTCAATCCCACTTTAGGTACCATTGGTGGTGCCCAAATGGTGGAATGTGCAGTTTGGGAGAGCAATACAATGGTTAGATACAGAAGAGCAGTCAGCTGTGCCTGGATTCTGAGCGTGAAGCTAAGTGCAGGTTAAAAAGTGGGAACATAAGGCCATTAAAAATATTTGGCTCTCTTTTACAGGGGAGAACTGATGTAGAATAGTTGAAGTCTCCAGAAGCAGATTTTTCTCTCTGGAACCAGGGTTTTAGTTTCCTAATGTTATTCCAGTCATCCTTTATACTAGGGTTTCATGCCCTAAAAGTGATACAGTTTATTGTGCCTCTCTTCTCAAACTCCATTATCCACAAAATCCCAACTTCCAGCTAATCAGAAAAGCAAAATGCTACTAAATTGACTAGTACACAATAGTCAAATTAGCTTCAGGAAAGTTCAATCTTCGGGAGATAAAAGAAGCTCTCCTTACTTTCACCTTTCCAACCAAATTTGTGGTTTTAGTTAATAAGAAAATAGTTACTGTTTAAAAACATGCATATGCATATATTAAATCATTCTGCAAAGAAACCCAAAGCTGGGCTGATGGGATTCTTACCAGAGAATATTGCCAGGGAATTACTAAGAAAATAAAAAAGGCCAACACGTTCCTGACTTTGAAGTGCAAGATTATACTAATTTCTGAAGGCAAATTGTAAATACAGCTGCTGGCAGAAATTTAGCACTTTTTAATAGTACAATTAGGGAAGTCATCTGTGTATTGACTTGCAGTGGGACATAATACTTTTATGGGCAACAGTTTGCTCTACCCTAGGAAAAAAAATATTTCTCTGGGTGGCTCTGTGCATTCATACATTACTAGAGTGTGAAATATTTATATTTTGCTGCTGATATTTGTTTTTTTCTATTTAAGACCCTCTACAGCCTCCTCAAACTTACTATAAAATTGAAGACCATATAGCGTAGGCTTGGCAACTTAAGAAAAAAAGGAATTAATAATTTTAAAAAGGTTATATAACACTGCAATTTTAACAGGGATAAGGCTGTAAGAGGTTTCTTTGCCAGCACTACTGTCAGCAGCTACCCTGTCCTGGCATCTGGGCATGTTTGGGGCTTATGACTGACTGCAAGCAATGCTAGGTTAGAGTAGAAAAAGGAGTGATATGAAGTTTGCATGTAACTCACCATTCTTTTTTAAAAAAAGAAATATACAACCATTTCAGCTGAAACTTCAAGGAATTTTGGCCTGACAGTTGTGTGTGAAGGCAAGTAGCTGGAACCTGAGTATGTGAGGTTTCCTGGCTTCTGACTGCCAAAGCAGACTCTCCAATATACCATGCCCCCAAGTATGCTTGCATAACTTCTCTTCACCCTTACAGCTGTGCAGAAAAATCTGACCTAGCTGTGTCAGAATTTATTAGCAAAATTGATTTCCATAATGGGGCTTTGACTTGGTTTTGCTTAGCAGAGTGTCTTTAGAAATAGCCGTGTCTGCAGAGAGTCAAACCTGAACAGCTAAAAAAGCCCTGCCAACTATTCCACACCAAAGCTGAATTTTAGTGGTTTTGACTGTTGACCTTTTGTAGAAAAGGACCTTTTGCTGGTAACAAGTAACAAGTACTATTTGGGAGGAGCTTGTTACTGGTCAGTGCATTCAATCGTTTGAACTCCTAAATGGGTGTCAGATTTGGAAAACCACTGATGTCTAATTTTTTTATGTCGGGCATCTGCTGCATGTACCACTGAATATGGACCCAAAGTAAGGCTAGTCTGGAAAAAAAAAAAAAAACAACCAAACAAAAAAAACCAACAACAACAAAAAAAGACCCAAAAAACCCTAACAAAATAAAACAAAAAAACCCCCAAACTTTGTGATCCACTTCTTTTGAACAGCACCTTTAAATGAGCTGCAGTCCAACATGAGTGGAAGTAGTAATTTATGAAGTTTACACAGAGGCCCTGGTGAATTACAGGAGCAGCAGTAGGTGATAATGGAAACAGTTTGAGTCCCTGGAGGGAGAAATTTGAGTTTGGTGGAAACTCCAAGGTTCCTTACTAAACAATTCTTCAAAGCTGGTGCTGTTTAGTAGTGTGTTTAGTAGTAAAACTCAAGTTGTCCTTAACAGTGGGATGATGATAACATATGTAAAGGGTTTGTTTTAGCACACAAATACTTCTATTTCAGATCATATGGGGCAGTACCTTTCTGCTCGATAGTATATACTAGCTCATTTAGCCATTCATTTCATTGCATCCCATACATGTCATGCTTCTATTAGATTGATTAATACCAATTTCTCTGCAGCTATTGCTTCAGCATGTGTAAGGTGATGATCATATTTCCTTTTTATACAGGAGAATGTCGAGGCAGGAGATAAGGAGACAACTGGAGTTGCTGAGAAGGAAAGCGAGGTACATATGAATAGACTCGAGTATGGTTGTGCTTTAATATTTTCAACCATGACAAAAAATTTGTCATTTGCCTGTCATCAATAGGCAGGCCAATACCATGCAATTGATACCTAGCTGTGGTATCTAAGTCTAACACTGCACAGATATAGCTACACCCATGGCATATATTCTAACATATCACCCACCTCTCATTCAATGCAGGATTTATCTTAGAAGCTGCCTGTTGCAGCAATATAGAGTGATAAATATTTCAGGGGAACAAACAAAGCAGCTCCATGGCTAAAGATAATCCTGTTTCTATTGACATTTGGAAATATGCTGTATAGATTCCCAGTAGCTTCTACAAATTTCTGTATATTTGTTTGCCTAGCCTTTCTGTGAATTTCCTTATTAAAAAAACCCTATGATTAATCATTAATTTTTCCTAGCACAATATGCCCTGAGCTAAAACAGATACTTGGAAATAATCATGTTATGAGTTGGTTTGCTAAAGCATAGTCTGGCATTATTAGATACAGTTAAAATCAAATTACAAAGCAAATTAAAAGCTCATACTTTAGGCTGTGCATATGTGGACTTGAATGATTGCATATTGCTTATATTTCTTTAGGGGTGATAAAAGTACTTACTCTGAATCCTTGTATACTACAGTGAAACTACATTGTGTTCAAACGTGCACAGAGGGCAGCACAAGAGGATTGGCTGCATATTAAAGTCAGGAATAGAAATAGGGACTGGGAAATAACTCCTAGTTATTAATCACTCAGGATTTGTATCTCAAGGTGCTAGCGACCTGCTCTTTTTTGTAGTTACTCATTTTGTTACCATGATATGTACAAAAAGGTAATTAACTGGTTTCAGAACATGCTAAGTTCAGCTGTCCAGGTTTAGGTTCATTGTCCTGCTGTAAAACTGCATTAGGTCTGATTGAGCCAAGGATATGTCTGTGGCTATAGGGCATACCAGTGTCACTTGGAAGTGTATTTGGGACTCACTGGTGCTGTATTCCTCACCAGCACTGCCACATCCACATGGAAGCCAGTGGAATTACATTGGGAGAAAGTGCAGAGTGGGAATGGTAGATCAAGCCCAGCTTGGTGTGGAGTCAGTGCAAGAGAGTGTTGTGTTCTTCCTCAGACATTGCCTTGTCACTCCCACCAAGTCTGGTTCAAGAAGAAGTATGCAAGAAATGCCTCACATTTGGGCTAGCAGCAAGGTTAAGTCTTTGAAATCTTCCCCCTTTATTCTAGTACTACTTCACTCTCTTATCTGAGAGTGATTTTGCCTGTGTTCTTTTTAAAACAGCTGTTTAAAACAGTATTACTGTATGCAGAAGAGCTGCCATAAGAGATTAAGTTATTTGCTAAGCCAGTATTTGACTGTTAATGGAGCGTGGTCCTTTCGATACTCTGTAATTTGCATAACAAATTATTCAGTACTACTTCAGAATTTTCCAAGACTTTGCAACTGATGAATTCCCTAAAGCTTGATGATTGGTCTCTCTTGACATTAGATAGCTTAGCTGTGATTATAACCGACTGTTATAAAAATTACCCATTCCTGTTCTAAATCCAGCCATGGAGCAAGAACTTCACCTCTGGAAGACGAGTGTATCTGAGGGAGCTCCTCTGGCAGACCCCAGCAACAGGCTTGGTACCCCTTGTCCTCTTCCTGGGCTCATTATTGCTACTGCTGAATCTGTGGCATTGTGTTGAGCTGACAGTAATGTTAATGAGAGTACAACTGTGTAGATAAGCTGCATCCTGACTAAAGAAAAATTCACATCTGTGCAATTAAAACAGTTGAGTGGTTCTATCACACCCCTCATTACACTGGATGATCCTTTCTTTTGCCCCTGTGTTGTGGTGCACTAGTCACCCCTGTGTGCTTGGTGTAATGGGACAGCTGTCCAAATGTCAATAATTTAAAAATTGGACAGCTAGAGATAGCTAATTTGGAGTACTGTTAGACTGCCAAAGAGATTTGTAGGATTGGTTTTCAGTGTGAAATAAGGTAATATAAGTAGCTGTATCTGCAAGAATGTGGTTCAACACAGCTTGTTATGAATTCAACCTCCTGCCCGTTTTTTTTCACTTCTGTACTAATCAGATATTTGAGGCTGGTAGTGAGGTTCATTCTGTGCTACCTCATATACCTTTTTATAAAAGCTTTTTAAAATCATCTAGCTTTTAATGGTTTTGTACTCTAAGACACAAGAAAAATTATTGTGATTGTGAACTGTGGTATACATTTAGTGACTCATGACTGCATTCTGTGAGAGTGTCACTCTTTCACTGTGGGGCTCATTTGTGAGCCGATTCAGTAAATTAGTATTCTCCTCCTTAGTAAAATAAAATGGTCTATAGAAATCCAATAAGCAGAAAAGAAGTTGTTGATCTTAATCAGAATAGACAGCAAGACCAGTTTCAGCATCATGCTTTAGAAATGCATGATGTCAAAGCAGTCTGAGGTACACTCTATTCCCACTCTTTCCTACTAGCCTCTTCCAGGATTTTAACATTCATCATTTATTTGTGTATCTTCTTGGATCAAGACTGCTAAAATTGGTAATACTATATGAGTGACAGACTTGCATGTCTTACAGGAGAAAAAGTCAACATCTGACCTTCACTGTTGATGTTATTTCCTCTTACAGTAGAGCATGCTTCAGCAGCAGCAGGTTCAATTTAAAGTTTTCCAGTGATTCCTGTACATCCATACAATATTTTCTGTTTTCATGGATTCCAGGAGGATTTATTTATCACATCAATTAATAGCAGCAAATAGGAGCAGTGGTGAATATTTAATGTTGCTAAAAAACAATGCCTGAACAGTGCCCTTGAACAGTTGCTGAGTTCAGGTAGTGAAGTTAGCTTCATCCACAGGGGAAAAATCAAACTGAGGAAATAAATAGCATCAAACTATTCACTGGAGGTCAGAGAAATTACTGCTAACTGTGGCTTGACATTAGTACCTCGAGTTTTCCTTCAGTGTTTTTTCTTTATCCTTAAGCCATCTGCTGTAAGGTAAAAATTCTGTCTTGAAGTTAATTAGTTTAAAACAATGAGTTTTGTCATTTACCTTCAGCAGTCCAAACCTTAAGATTAATCCATTGTAAGTATATACCCAATATGCTACTGTAAGCAGTATATGGCAATGCAAGTGTTAGGGGAATGCATGAATTACAATTGGTTTATGACAGTTTAAAAGGAGAGCACTGGGGAATGAGTTACCTCCTTTTATAGGTTCAACCAGTCCCTTTCCACCACTAAGGAACGAGTATGAGTAGATAGTTACAAGTGAAAAATAACAGTTTACTAATAAATGAAACAGCAACAGGCAAAAGCTAAAAATAAATAACTGCTAGATACAAAATAGCTAAATCTTATGATAGCTGAGATAGCGCCTGATGGGCGACTGCTTGGGAAAGACAAAGGGACAAGATGGCGTCCAGTCCCTCCCAGGAAGGCAGGAGCTCAGGGAGCAATTCCAGTGGTGAATGAAGACCCGACAGCCCCTCTGGGGTCAGTACCCTCCTCACAGCAGGAGACAGCAGGGCAGGCAGGTCCAGGCAAAGCAGTTGGGCCGGGGCCACTCACAGCTGATAACAGCCTGGGCCGGAGCCAGGGCTGCTCCACTACTGTTTGTGTGATTCCTTGACTGCAGATAGGCCCCTGTGGAATTCATCCCGAGGCAGCTTAAAGCCTCCAACTTCAGTCTCTCCAAGACAAGGAAGAAGACAAAATACAAAAAGAGAACCCAAAAAGGGAGAAGCCTCTGCTTAAGCAAAGACCAAGCAGCTAGCAAAGGAAAAACCACACAGCAAGAAGGAGACAACCTGCCTGCTAGAGCGGACAGTAACAATGCCCCAGATAGCGTCCTGCCCCAGTTTTTCCAGCTGCAGGGTCTTAAGAGACAGTAACAATTTGGGGAGCAGATAGATAGGGAATGCAATAATTTTTGAGTTACACACAACAACAAGTAAAAGTTTCTGCTGGATGAAGGATTAAACATTGATATAGTAGTAGGCAGGTACTTTTCTATGCACTTTTCATGAGTTGGAATAAATCATGCATTAACTTCTCAACACAGACTGATCAGAAATTATTCAGTCACAGCCAGACTGAATAGGCTTTTATGTATCTTTTTATGCTGACATAACTATAGATCTCTGTGGTTAATTTTTTTCTGATACTTACCCAGACAGAGAATATATTTACTTCTCCTGACATGACCTGGTTTGTAAGTCTCTCTGTTAGAAGGGAATGTGTAACTAAGATTACAAGATTTTTGATGCCAGGCAAGATCTGTGTTGAGGTAGGTGACTAGCTAGAGAAGGCTTGACGGCTCTTCCCAAGAACAGATTCCATTAGCAGGGTCCTGTGGGCCCTAGACAGTTTGCAAGCTCCTCCTCCTCTGCAGAAATCAGTGGTAAATTTATTCCACAATACCACTGGAAGACAAGGGAAGGAAAACAGCTTTGACAGTTACTCCACTCATAACACCTGAGGACTCTGCTAAATGTTGCCTGGTGAGGTTTCATAAATGTCTCTCTCCCACCTTTTAATCAGTTTTTTCTGAACAAGCTTGTCCCCAGCACTGCTCTTCTCCGTAAACCTTGAGTTCACCAGTGAACTCAAGACCATAGGTCAGCATCACACAGGGAGGTCACAGAGCAGAGGCTGGCCCATGTTCTCTCCAGCAAGTATCTGTAACTCGTAATATCCTGAAAGGTCCCCCCGTCTGTTGTTTTTAGGTGGTACCTTTTGGTGAGAGGACTGCGGCGTCAGAAGACAGTGCAGCGGTGGCAGCAGGAGCTGCCACCACTGAGCAGGAGGATGTTGCTGAAGGTGACAAACCTCAGGGAGAAGAAAAAGAGGCTGATATGTCTCAGGTAACTCATGTCAGTGCACAGGAGAGTGTGTTAGGGGAATCAGGACAGATTAAGCAGCCCGAGAGAGGCAAGGCTTCTGCAGCTCTGTGCCCCCAGGTTCAACCAGTAGCGAGAATGATGTTCTCCTGGGATGGCTCTAGGAAGGTCTCACACAGGGTATCCTTTCTTCTAAGTCCTTACTTTGGGTTGTGCCTGCCTTTGTGTCTCTGTACTCCCCTAGGCTGGTGGAGATGGGACTTGATGGCCCTCTCTTGGCATACTGTTTGGACTGTCCCCCACTTCTTGTCTCTCTGTGCTCCTCTGTAGAGATAACATTTATCACATAAAATGGCTGGGCTTTCTGGAGAAATAGATAGAGAAACAATTGGATTTTTCTCATATCCTGGCATCATGTCCTATCAAGAGCATTACTTTGTTTCCTGTAAGTCATGGTGATCAAGCCAGGTATCCATATCTGGCCTGCTGCCTTTTCCTCTGCAACCTCTAAGGAGCTGGCAAACACCTGCTAGAGCAGACCCTGTAGCTGGGCAGCCAGTTACCACCTGATTTCATTGCATATTCTATTTCATCTGTGCTCCAGGATAAGATGGTTTGGAAGAGGATCTATGAACATGGTTTTTTTTCAGGTTGGAAGCTACAAGAAGTTTTGTTAAATGTTTTTTTACTGGGATTCATGATTGGTCAGATACTACTTAGATTTTTTGCTTTCTCTGTTCCCAGTTACATTGTTTTAAATCAGGAGAGATCCCTTCAGTCAAAGAAATAGGTCATATTTCCTTCTTTCATCACCCTCTATCACTATTATCCTGCTGACTTCAATTTCCAAATAAAAACAGTACAGTGACTACTGGAACTACTGGCTTCACTCAAACCTGCTGAAATTAAAGAGTGGAGTGAAGGAAACAGGTCTAATAATTTCCAGGAATGCTGAAAATGAAGCCCAAGCTACCTATAAAGATTTTTTTATTATTTAGTGCAATAATGTGTATTTACATATTTTTATCATTTAGTGCAATAATGTGTATTTAGGTTTAGGAAGACTAAGGAGAGCAGTGATAACAGGTAGGGGATTATTCCTTGACATTCTTGCACAAATACTGTTTTCTGTCTTAAGAATTCATGGTACAGAAAAAAAGAAATTCTCATGCCCATATATGCCTTATGCAATAAACAAACAATTGTGTTTTCCTGCTTGAAATAAAGTATTAAATAGTTTTGTATTTCTTTTCTGTGGGGGGGTTGTTTTTTGGTTTTTTCCCCCCAGGAGAAGGTCAGCAGCATCCCTTCTGTAGTAATAGATCCAGCATCAAACAACGAGGGGGAGGGAGAACACGAAGTCATCATGAATGAGTCCAAAGATGCCACAACAGAGATGGGTGCTCAGGTCACTGACACTTCTCTCAGTGAAACTTCCCAATCTGGAAATGATCAGAAACCTGCTGAAGAAATCCAGGTTGTACTTTCTCAGGATCAGCCTGTTCCAGCAGAAGATGCAGCTTCAGCAATGCCACCTGGTTTTCTCTATAAGGTCTGCTTCTCTATTCTTCTTTTAGATATCCCTAGCTTCCTGTGGATGTGTCTTGTCTGCACAGGTAGCGCCATGATTTGTTGAGAGCAAAGGATACTTAGTTTATCAGCCACATGCACACACAATACATGCAACTACAAGTGTAATATTGTGTTGTTGCTTCATAAATAAAGTCTGAGAAGATACATTTTCTGTATGCTTGTTGCTGGCATTATCCTAATGTAGCTGTAAGATTCATTGAAGTACAAGAACACTTGAATCTCACCAAATGACTGCTGAAAATTAATATATGGAATAAAACTGCACTGCTACATAGGTCTTTCCTTAATCAGGAATATTGTTGATATATGCTAATTCTATATCTGATATGCTAACAATATATTTGATCTCTAATGTCCCTTGCAAAACCAAAACATTCTATGATTCTATGATCATTAAAAAAATTGCTTTTTTTCTGACCTGAAAATCTGTAGTGGAAGTACTGATTCTCTTGAAACCCATGGCTACAAATAATAGTAATGAAGCCAAAATGTCATTCAGTAACTTTAGTAATAATATAAACTATTAGGGTAATCAAACAGAAAAAAATAATGAGGCATAAGAGAAGTTCTTTCCTTGGCTGGCAAAACCCCCAGGGTTTCCTGGTTCACAAGGTTCTTTGAAAATACTTTTCATTTAGAATCACTGAGCAGCAGAAAAGCTCCTTGAGGATGGATGAACTTTACATGCTTCCTACTATAATTTGCATAGTTCAGACTAATTAGTCCCATAGCACTCTCTAAGTATGCCATTCTTTTTGGTCTATTCTCATTGCTCAATATTTTCTGCAAACTTTGTGGATAACAGTAGGGTAAAGGTAAACACTATCATGCAACTCAAACATGCTGACATAGTTAATCTTTTGCTTTTCATCCCACTCCCTAGGGTCAGACATAGAGAAGAAGAAGCAGAACATATGCTTTAAGTCTGGTTCCCAATGCCATTGTCTTTCATAATTGCAGAGTTATTGTGAAGCTGTCTGTGCGCTGAGAAAATTAGACTAGCTATCTTTTGAGGAGATAAAACCATTTACTTAAAATGGTCTGTTTACAATGACATGCTGATCCTGCCAATGTTTGAATGCTTACCCCTTTGAAAGGCAGATATTTTTGGCATACCCATCTGCTGGTAAGTGGGAGTTCCTTCCAAGGCAATCATCAGGTAGGGTTCCCATTACTCACCTCTTTGATCATCTATTGCAATAGTACTATATATCTGACTCAAATTTTTATAGATATTCACAAGAAGAGTAATACAACAATGGCCACAACAAGAGAATGAGAGAATATAAAGCTCCTGAAAATATTTCTCAATTTTATTTGTAAAATCCTGCCACCCCTCTCGCAGATCTTGTAATGATAATGGGAAATGGAAGGAAGTTCCTTACATGGGAAAATGACAGTGGCAGGCCTTGTCCAAGAAGCAGGGCTTGTGGAATGTTGCATTATCATCTGTCCTTGAGATCTTGTAATCTTGGGGAAGGATCTTAAGTTTCTTCTGATAGTCTCAGGAATGGAAACTATCCTTAGGTTGTCACTGCTTCTGAGGAAATGCATAAAAAACTGACATGAATCAATGCTTTTATTATCAACTTATGCCAGATCAAAGGAGGTGGTTCTGTTATTGTGTGATCCCACCTGGAGTGCTGCATACAGTTCTGGTGTCCCCAGCATAAGAAGGACATGGAATTGTTGGAACAAATCCAGCGGAGGAGCAAGGTTAATAAGAGGACTGGAACAGAGCCACCTTGAACACAGGCTGGGAAAATTTGTGCTGTTCAGCCTGGAGAAGAGAAGGTTGCATGCATTCCTCATGGCAACCTTCTAGTATCTGAAGGGGACCTATAGGGAAGTTGGAGAGGGACTTTTCATTAGGAAACTGTAGTTCCTTGTAGGACAAGGAGGAATGGGTACAAATTGAAAGAGGGAAAATTTGGATTAGATATTAGGAAGAAATTTTTACTGGGAGGGTGGTGAGACCATGGAACAGACTGCCCAGGAAGGTTGTGGATGCCCCAGCCCTGGCAGTGTTCAAAGCCAGGTTGGATAAGGCCTTGAACAACCTGGTGTAGGGGAAAGTATCTCTGCCCATGGCAGGGGAGGTTGGGACTAGATGATCGTTAAGGTCCATTAAACCTGTTAGCATTCCATGATTCTATGATAATTTGAATGTACTTGTCTATAGCCATATGTTTGCATAAAGACAAATTTTTTTTTCAGTCTCAATTTAACAGGTAATTTTGTTGAAAAAATGTCTTCATTTCAATCACATCTGTATGTGTGGTGTTTTTTCTTTAGGCTGAAGTTCTACATGATTTTGAGGCAGCTAACAGTGATGAACTTAATTTAAAGCGAGGAGATATTGTGCTAGTGATTCCTTCTGAGACCACAGCTGATCAGGTGAAAACGTGGTTCTTGCTTTTGCTGATATTTTTCTTTGCCTCAACTTTTTTTGTTACAGGTTATATTTAATGGGAATGTGTATTCAAAATTATGTTACTGTAAGAAAACACAAAGATTTTACTTAAGCCTTTGTATGTAGTTTGATTTGAGACTAAATGGCACAGTTGACTATATCTGAAGTCACAGATACATGTTATTAGCAGGATCTGACCTCTGCATATTTTTAGGGCTTTTCTGTGCTACATTGTATTTTATACTGACATACAGGTACACAAAGATTTCAGACAGAGGATACCTACAAACTCTGTTCTATATCATCTTGTCAACATTCCAGTAGAATTTATTACATGGTCCCTAAATGTTCAGTTTTTATGTGTGATTTGTAGAAATAATGGAAATTCACCCACAGAGAGCACTGAGAATGCACACAAATTGTGGTGTCCTATAGCCTAAAGGTATAGACATGCTGCTCTGTGTTAGGTGCATCTGATAAAGATAACTTTGCCCCTCGGAAGCCTGAATCTGAATTAAACAATACTTTAATTTAATTTAAGGCGTCTAATTTAGTTCTAACATTGCATTTCAGGTGAATTTTTAAACAATTGTATTTCATATGTTAAACTGATTTGCAGTGATGTATGTTGATTTTGGCTGCTGCTTCAAAAGAGAAGACTGTACTGTACACTATTAGCACCAGCCACCCCATGGGCATCTGTTAGTGCCTGTAGTGTTGGTAAGAAGTCTCCCAGTTGATTTGGGGGTTGAGAAGCGGGGGACTGGATCCTGCCTGATCAGGTAGCCAAGAGCACTGCTCTGAAAGAAGAATATATCTTAAAACAGGCCTAAATACTATTGCTCTAAGCATATATGAGCCCTGAGAACTGTGTTTGAAATTGTTTTGCTGGTTGATGGTGTTTGAAGTTAGGTAATTATCGGTCCTCTCAGCTGTGCTTTCTTTAATTCAAGATGTGAATTCTTGGCTTTTGTGAGTGGGTTTTTTTTACTTATTTCAGAACAAAATATTTACACTACATCAGGTACAGAACTCTTTCTATTGGAATGAAGTCTATTATCCCTACTCAGATTATGCTGTCTTACCTCATGGGCAGTTCAATTGATTTCACTGTTAGTATTTGCAGAATAGGATACTACTGTAAGAATAGCAAAATATGCTCTCTGACTTTAGTCTGTTTTTTGCTAGGATATTAGATATTAAATACATGATAATGCTTGGTGAATCCATGAAATGTAAATCTGGTGTGCACTGAAATTCCCATTAGCATTAATTGAAGTAAATTGTGTGCAGTGATGGAGAAAATAAACCTTTATGTATTCATGTTTCTGAAGCCATTCTTTTCATATATTTATTGTGCGTTACATATTTCCCCTTCATGTTTAACATCACCATAAAGCTCAATACTTTTGTCTTTTGCCAGGTACTTTGTTGATTTTTATAAAGGCTCATTTTTGTTATTCTTTATTCTCCTTCAGAAATTACCTGTCTAAAGCCATAATTCCAATACATCTGGTAGCATCAACACCCATTTGAAGCAAACCAGTCCCACCCAGTGGCTTTTTCCGTTAGACTTGTGTTGAAGTTATTGTCCAGTAAAACTGTGTATTCCTTTCTACAGTCTATACTGCCTGTGCTAAAGAGCTGCAGTTCCTCTGTCTCTTAGATATTCCACATGCCTCACTTAAACTTACCCAGTCAATGTCACAGATAAGCTGGATCTGCTGTAATGATGCTTATTTGCAGGCAGAGAGCCCCCACCAGCACACACAGCCACCCCACAATCATGATTTGATGATGTATGTGATGATCTGTTCAAGCTGTTCTATCTGCATACGTACTATCTGTACAATAATAATATGACAGCATTAGACGTTCTGTTTGCCATGGCTTTGCTTCAGTTCCTTTTCTTTAAAGGAAAAAGGTACAGAGTTTCTTAGTGAGATGAGAGTAGATCGGTCATTTTTAAAAATACCAAATTATTTTATTCTAGGTAGAATTTATCACACTTGAGAGAATCCAGTACTTTCCAATAAGAAATCTCTCTTTTGTTTGCTTGGACAGCTGGTGATTTGTTGATATTTTGCTTGTCAAGTCCTGGTTTAGGTTTCCAGGAGCTTTTTGAAAAATAATTACATTTTTTCTAGAGATAGTAATTCCTGAGACAGCAAGAACTGTTCCTTCTTCTGAGTGTTGATACATGAATGAGAGAAAAAAATTAGGATTCAGAACTATTCTTCCCCCACTTAGATGGGCTGAAGGCTGTATCATGCGCTTGCAGTCACTTGGTCTCACAAAATTAGTAGTCTGGTAGAACGGAGAAAATGGTCTGTGCAAAATTAGAGTTAGATTTTTAACCAAAACACCAAATCCTTTAGCCATGTTATTCTGAAACATCTTCAGGTCTGAAGCTCATAGTGAGGAATGGGAGACCTGAAATTTAAGAGACTGTCTTTTTCTTTGCAGGAGGCTGGCTGGTTGACTGGCATTAAGGAATCCGAGTGGCTACAGTACAGAGATGCAAATAGTTATAAAGGACTTTTCCCAGAGAACTTCACACGCCATCTGGAGTAGTTCTCCCAGGCAGACAAATGTAGTATGAAGCTCAGTCAGTAGGTTTTTAACCTCTTTGAAACACAGGAGCCCACCTTTTTGTTGTTTAAGCTGTTAATGGTTTACACACTGATGCAAGACAAAGCTAGTTGAAACATATCAAATGAGCATGAATGCAAACAGTTAAGGTGTAATTTCTGAAGCAGTACATGGGGAAAAAAAATCAGACAAAAATGAAATGTCCTTATTTGTTCACAGGTATGTGGCAACAGGTTTGTTTGTGCTTCGTCAGAGCTATGGTGATCCTGTATTTGATCCTTTCCCAAGAAATCTGAAATTAGCTTCCTCAATACCAAAACCATAACTTCTCTGCACTAAGTGTATTGTATTCCATTGTACTGCAGAAGATTTAATTAATTATCCTGTAGTTATAAGGTCAAACTATTACAAGTTCCGTGTGTTAAAAAGATAGTTAACTACTGCAACGTTTTTCAGTGTTATTTTTGGACATGCATAATATATATACACAAGAGCTTATATGTGTATATATAAGTGCATATGGCTATATGCATTTTCACAACTTCATTGTAGCTCTTTGGCTGTGTAGTATCATCCAGTATATGCATTGCTTTTTCATTGTCTGGCATTACAGGAAACAGTTTTGTTCAAAGCAAAATTAACTATTCCATTGCCAAAACACGATACAATATCTGTGTTTGTAATATGATATTTTCATTCTTAAGTGATGAATAACATCATGTTCAAAGCCGCTAACCTTTGAGAAGGCATGGCTCGGTTTCCTCTTCCAGCTGCAGTAGTTACAATGAGATAACCTGGAGGGGGGAGTTGTTATGATGCTAATCTATACTTTTTTATTTAATTGGCTGAATACATTTTCAAAAAGAAACAGAACTAATCTCTGAGAATCAATAAACACAATATATTTTCACTATATGTATTTATGCAGCATACCTTCACAGAACCTTTTAAAGTAAGATATATATCCTGTATCAAAAAGTCATCTGTAACTTATGTTTTCCAGTGCTGTGTCATTAAAAATAAACCTTTGGTCCAAAGAAGCTGTTTCTTCTGTGGTGCTTTTGAAGTTTTGTAAGAAGTTCATATAATTTGTACATTATATTTTATAATTTCAACTTAATTTAATATATTTTTTTCCAAAGGAATATAGCATAACAGGTGCAACCTCTAAATGCTTGTTCTCAACCTAAGTTGTGGCTAGAGTTCCAAAAGGTCTGAACCCCAGCTCAGCATGTCTCTCTGCTGCTCTTCCTGTTCCCAACTGATCACCAGCTAATATCTGTCCAGTAAGAAAGGGAGCTTCTCTGTATTTAACCATCACTCAGCTGAAGATTTCTGTCTCTTACTAATTTTTCTGTTGCTTTGCTTTTTTAAGATTTTCTAAGCCTTCTGATGTTTGCATTCTTGTAGCAAACTTTCTCACGCACTTTCTGTAAACAACTTATTGTTTTGCATTCTTTTATGAAAGAGGAGAAATTGGATGGACTGTTAGTTTGTCCAATGTCATTGGAGAGGTGGCACTTTCACTCTCCAATCCACTGTCACCTTTGGAAATCTATAAATGTTGGAGTCAGAAAATAAACTTCCCTTTTCTACCTTGAGAACAGCAATGTGTTCACGTCATGTTGTTAAGTGTCTTATAGTGACATTTTTCACTTGTCCACTTTTTTCATGTGGAAAGTAAGTTTTCTATAAATCTGCTCCATTGTGTTTGCCGAGGCACGGAAGCTGCAAGTATTTAGGAATATCTATATTTTCCGAGGAATTCAGGTTTTTTTCATTAAACGTTTGTTATCTCATAAGCAAACAATACCTGTTTCTACTCCATTCCTAATTTGCTAAATCTCAGTTGAAGAAATAGGGGGCTTGTGCCTCTTGAAGAAGAGGAGAGTTAATTTTTTCCTGTTTTTCAGGGTCTCTCTCAGTAGGTTTCAAAGGTAAGTCCAGCGATAGCTGTGTTTTGTGAAGAAGCTGGATGGCTCAGCTGTGATAGCTGGCATTTTGTATTTGAAATATCCAGTGAGTCTAAGAAGGTTACAGGAAAGCACTCTGGTTTTCTGTTCATTCCTTCAACAGGTTTGATCTAGGGCCAAGAATCTCTCCAACGACAAAACTTGCTTTTGGTTTTCTTGTTACAATAAATTCCAGACTTCAGCACACCATTTTGAGGTGGTCATAATAACCTATTACACTTTGTTTACAGTGATACTCGTGATAACCTCCAGGCTAGTTTCTTGCTTAACTGCATCTCAACACTTGCATTTCAATAATGGCTGCTCTACATATCACTGGAAAAGCCCAGCACTGTACAATGGAGCTTCAGTTTGCCTGTGGACACCATGTCGCCACCTCTTTGAAAGGGACCTACTATCAAGTGAGATCATTATGTGTGACAGTCCTAACCCTAAGGTCATTATTACCAGCCCAAAGCATTACTGTGATCAGCCAAATGTATTCTTTTATCAGGTGTCCATCAGATGCAGTTACTATTATTAGGGGCCCTCTTGATTTTAGAAGTATTGACGTCAAAGTTAAACACTCTTGGTCTTGACTCTTCTAATCTCCTTGGTACAGCACAATGTGACAGATTCACAGAGGGTTTTCAAGTACACTTGAGATTGTACATAGATAGGAAAGGTCTCTGGCCTACAGCAAAGAGCTTTCATGGTACTGTCATTATTTGTTGGCAACAAGATATACTGGTAATGTTCCAAAAGCTGTAGTATTGATCATGATGTGTCATTTTAATGCTGCAGGTTACTGTGTATATGGCATACCATTCTGACATTGAGTATGTTTTCACATCTCACACACACAACCCAGAGCCACAAATGTCTTGCAGAAAGGATGAGGAAAATTATTGTTTGCAAAATTCCATCTCTTAAGGATGATACACTCTTAAGTTTGCAGCTCATTAGGTGAGTCCTGTGCAGTAAGTGTATTTCTCTGTGATCTATAAAATTTTATTCTAGGACAAGCAAGGGAAATACTTTCCACTACGTACTGCTGTTACATACATGATACACTGGTGTTACACGGCATGAACTGGAGTTACACTCCATCTGGAATTATATTAGACCAAAATTATTTCTCCCTTTACTTGGATTTTTTTTTTTTATTTACAAACAGTGCTGCATTTTGCAAATTACTGAATTTTGTGCTTTCAGAGTGATTGTAAAACTCATTGTTTCTTGGTTTCTCTAAAGGCTTATTTATGCCTAAGAGAGCATATACTACTAACCTTTTTAAGCAGGTGTAATTTATAATTCTACATAAAATAAACCCTTTAAAGATTTAGGAATCCAGTCTCCTGATCCCACAAACTGATTACACATGGTGTGGTCTTAAAAGAAAGACAAAGTAACTGAAGATAGAGGAACATGGAACATGTTGTGTAAGTGAACAAATAAATTGTGTATTTGCAGCTCATCTATCTGGTTGACAACCTTTCCTGAATAATGAAAACCGCATAAGCTGAACAACACTTCTGTCCTTTCTCTCCTCTCTCCTCTGTCTTGCTTCATTTCTTCCATTAGGTGCATCTGTCCCTGCCACAGGGGAGGCTGAGGGGTGTTCAATATATATAAATATCATGGTGTTCAATTCCAGGACACTCTGATTACTGATGCCCTAATTTCAGACAGATGTTAAATAAAGTCTCATTAAGCTCATTCTTAACAAAAATTTTGTGGTGTCCTGCTAACACTACAGAGAAAAAGACATCAAAAGAAAGCCACTGTGATGGGTAGTTTAGATGGATGGCGTTGGGAAGGAGCAACCATTGGCTGAAGAATAGTTTACAAGGTTGTTGCCTCTGCTCTGTACAGGCAGAGCATAGGCAAGTAGCAGGCATAAGTACCACAGCAGCCTCAAACCCACCACAGTTTTCTGTTTGAAGTACAAAATCATATTTTACTGTCAGTTTTTAAAGCAGATTTGAAAGATCTATATTTTCCCAGCTGCAAGTTCACTTGAGCAAATCTACCATCTTCACCATTCTTTGACTTTTAGCCCTTTTGTCCCAACAGTCTTCATCCATGTGATTTCAGCTCTGATGCTTTGTGCATCTTGTCTCTGCCAGCATCTCAACTATATCTTTCCCTCTTTTCACTCTGGCCTGTTTAATCAGCACAGAATCATCACACAGGGAAAAATGCAGCACTTTCTGAATGGTTTCTCCTGTAACCAACAGGAAGACTGCTTAATAGCAGTTAAAGGAAACCTTCATGAAAGAAAACACCCAGACAGTAGTAGAAGTGCCACTCTGTGTGCATGCAGGGTTTCTGTCCAGCCACAGGCACTAAAAGTAATGCAGATAACCACAAAGTACTGTCTGGCCACCAAAACTTGAGTCTTCAGGAGCCAATGGTACTCATATCTGCTGAAGACAGTCCACAAATGCAAAATCCTCTTTGTCCTCAGCCTGGTTTCAGAGGAGAAGCGAGGCTGGGGTTTCTTTTGGTGCTATCAGAGCATAGGCTTTGGTGTGAACCAGATAAACCCCCAGTCACTAATAGTGCCTTTATATTTACCTAGACAGACTGTTTGAGGTACAAGGTATAATTGGACCAAGAACATCAAAGCACTGGAAAGGTAAGTAGTTATATACTTAAATTATTATATTTCCAAGGTACATGCTGCAAAGGAGAAGGTTAAGATAGTCCAGATGTCCGAACTTAATTCATAAGAAAGTCAACATTTCTGTATTAAAGCTTTTTAAATTAAACATACTGACCTGCAATGGAAGGAAGAATTTGGCTGTATGTCTGCAGATGAAAAAAGAAACAAAACATGTAATTTTGAAGAATTAATTGTGCAAGTTAACACATAATTGCCAAATGAAGAGGTGTACATGGCCTGGTTTTTGGTAGCAGGGCCTACAGGCTTCTGTGAGAAACTGCTGGAAGCTTCCTTCATGTTTGGCAGAGCCAGTTCCTGGTGGCTCCAAAGAGGAACGTGCTGCTGGTCAAGACTGGGCCAGT